TATGATTTTATTTAAAAATTCGCAAAGCTGAAGGAGGGACCTGATCTCTTGTTAAAAGAAAGCAATTTTCACAGTAATAATATTTAACCATTTTAGCTTTGTGTTGAATCATAAAAGGAAGTTTCTGTTCAGTCCCTCCTCCGGCGCACTTAGCCAGGTGCTTGGTGATCTTGTAGGAAGAGAACGCGTTCCCTGGGCTGTGACCTCCTAGGAGATCCTGTCACCTGGGCGGGCCGCCCGTCTGTTCCCGGGCAAGCACGCCAGGTCTCACTTTCACTGCCTACGCAGGGCTCTGAAAAGCCCTCATTTTAAACTTGAGAAACTGTGAAAGGATTCCTTAACTCACTGCCTGCAACAAACCCACCTACTTTTTAAGTCTTGACAGTTACAAGTGTAAAATACTTGAAATGTAGAAGATGTTCCACATTTAAGGGAACAGCTCGGATATTAAAAAATTAGGTCAAGTAACATGCTTTCATGTCTTAAAATGTTACTTAATATGACGTGATGGAGACAAGATATGCAGCATTTTCTTGTACTTGATGTTATAAACTCCTACTGACGATGGCTACCTGATGATCAAAAAATAAATAAAGAAGAGAGAAGAAACCATATACACTGGTATATTAACAATACCTGTAGGGAATGTCATGTTTTAAATTTTGTTACTGAAATGAAGCCTGGAAGAAGGAAACGAAAGCTCTACAAAAGCAACACCCATGTTGTTTTAAATGATGAGGTAGATTTTTTTCCTATGCAGTAAAGTGAACAAAAAATGCATACAACTTTCAAATCTTTTTTTAAAAAAACAAGTTCGGGTTATAGTCCCTTTCACAAATGAGACATTTATAGACTATGAGGTGGCGAGGTCATCCTCAAGCGGGCTCTGTGCTTGGTACGGTGCTCGGAGATTCAACAATCAGTCTTGGATCAATCAACTCTCTCCAGAATACAGTGATCTGAGGAAAAACACAAAATATTTGGCTTAGAGGTGTAATTTTGAGGTCATCTAGGTTTTAGTTGGTTAACAACTTCAGTCAAGTATATTTCCATTTGTGCACAGTGCTTGAAGGCCTGGAACATGGAGTCCCGGGAAGCGTTCATTAGGCTGGAAGACCTTGTTTACCTAGAAGGCAACTACACTTTACATTAAGCACATTGTACCCTTCTTTCACTTGGAGCTGGGGGTGGGGTGGGACGCAGGGCAGTGGTTACAAAGGGGCAGGAGGGTTTGCCCAACAGGACCCCGTGGCTAGGCGGCCCCGCACTCTCTCCTGCACGACTGATCCCGTGGGCAGCTGAACAGTTCCTGCCCTGCGCTGCTTGAAACCTGGAGCTACTTCACAATGCGCACAGGCGCCCCGTGTGGGCGAATCACGAGCGCCATCTAGTGCCAAGGAAAGGTAATTACAGGCTCTGCTTCAGGCTCCGGTTTAACAGGGCAGGGGGAGGGGGGGGAGAGAGAGTAAAAAAGCTTCCAAGGTTTAATTTTCCAGTGTAGTTTCCAAGAACACAGTTCAACAAAAAAGTGCAGAGCCATACACTGCAAATCAAGAAGTACAGGAGATGTGGCCAAATCTGCTGATCTTACCACACAGACCCCAAAAATGAGTTTGGGGAATAAATCCCTAGGTGTGCCATCTATTCTAAAGACAAAGCAAACCAATCTGGTTTACAATTACCTTACAGATAAAATGTGAGTTTGCAATAGTGAAAGTTACAGAATAATATCCATAACATTTCAAATACAAACACCTTACGAGGAAGCATTTTCTTAACTACAAATTCTCGTTAGTTTGATGCTAGCATAGCCTAATGAGCCGGCTGTGCCAGCAACTCTGGAAGTCTGGCTGCCTAAAAGCTCTAAACCATATACTTCTTCAAGTGGCCATTTAAGGATTTAATCAGAAGTCAAAAGGCAGAATCATCATTTTTATGTCATTCTTCAAAACCATCTATGCCATTATAAGTCAGAATCACAGTAACATTTGGGAACAGGAATGACCAGAGGGGGACACGATGGAGATGTCCAGGGGGGGCTGTTAATGTTCTGTTTCTTTTATCTAGGTGCTGGTGACACAGGTATGTTCATCTGTGATAATCCTTCAAGCTACATACATATGTATAATTTTCTCAATGGATGTATCAATAAAGCTTTTGAAATATACTGTTCTTTTCTACTGAAACCCTTACAGAACTATGAATTTATGCAGCTCTATAGTCTTAAATAAGACTGGAATTTGTGAATCTTGTCAGGTAGGCTCTTTGAGATCCAAGATGGTACCCTAGCTTGGCACTTGGTGCTGAACCCACCACCCCGTAGGCAGACCAGAGACCCCAGGGCCTAGATCATTTGTAACTTTAATATAGGCAGTTCAGGAAGCTGCCATGTCACCTTCCAGGCCACCAGCAACCAGTCGGGAGGGAATGGACAATAAGCAATTCCCAGAAGAGAAGCGCGCCTACCCTCTTCTCCTGCGTCACAGCGTACTCCACCACCTCAGTTCCATTGTCGTTGTGATAAACCAAATCAAATTTCCCAGGTTCTTTCATGGCTGAAACCAGGCGGTAGGAAGGAGAGACAAGAAGTCATTTCCCAGTAACGAAAATGTTCCTCTTTAGGGAATTTCTATCATTAGAAAAACAACCACAGACAAACTGTCCATTGATGTGGAAGCTGGGTACGCACATCAAAGCATGGGGTGCTCTGTGACAGGAGACCCTCAGAAATACCCTGTACCAGCAGACAGCAGCTCCTGGGCCACTTATCAGATACCATCTTTCCTTCATCAAAGAGAAATGAGCTTGATACGCTGTTATTAGTACTCCCGGAAAAGAACACGTAACCATTAGATAATCCAACAGATAACTGATGTAATTCAGCAAGTTAAAGTAATATGAATTCTGCAAAATTTGTACATCTTGCTCTGTCCTCAAAAACTAAACATGCTTATGACTTGGTAATACAGCAATCCTCGCTTTGCATGGTAGTGTGGGACCATAAAAATGACCATCCAGGCTGAAATCATGCAAACCAATCTGAATAAGCAATGGGAAAAGTTATGATTGTTATAATCAGATATTATATCAAAACATTAAAACCTTTACTGTACAGAGAATAGCAAAACTAACATTTATGTAGTACACTGTAATCTAAGATATCAAAAAGACCGAGAATTAGTGCTCTACAAAGAAATGTGTCAGCATGCCCGGTAGAGCATGTGGCTCTTGATCTCAGGATTGTTGAGTTCAAGCCCTATGTTGGGTGTAGAGATTATTTAAAAATGAAAGAAAGGAAAGAAAGGAAAGAAAGGAAAGAAAGGAAAGAAAGAAAGAAAGAAAGAAAGAAAGAAAGAAAGAAAGAAAGAAAGAAAGAAAGAAAAGGAAAGAAAGAAAGAAAAGAAAAGAAAGAAAAAGAAAGAAAGAAAGAAAGAAAGAAAGAAAGAAAGAAAGAAAGAAAAGAAAGAAAGAAAGAAAGAAAAACTTATCAAGAGTGGTTTGAACAGTGCTTGCCTTCCTGTCACATAACAATGACACAGAGTGAGAATCCTTACACCCTGCAGGCCTGGCAGACTCTTTCTAAGTGTGGATCGGCTTTCATTATTTTTTCCTTTGAGATCTGACATCATCGTGGAATAACTCTTAAGGTTCTTTGGTTCTGTTTCACAACTGTGTGACGCTGATGTCAATTCTGGGACCTTTTTCCCTGTCATCGCCACTACCTTCTTCCTTTATGTCAAGAAGCTCACATAAACTGCAGTGCCAACGGTTAGCGGCTTCTTCTAACTCCATTTAAACTTCACTTGGGCGTCACCTCCAGAACTATCACTTTTTGTTGTTTTGTTGTACTTTCATCTCTGTTGACCAACTTCCTACCTCAATTATCCATTTTTGTCAGATGCCCTGTGGGTCTATCACTGAGATACAAGGAGACGGCACAGCCTCGTGCGATGCTGCATATATGGGAACTGAGTAACAGGTACACGGTGACTAATCACCGGGAGACTTGGAAGGAAGTGACGTGATTTGTCACCGATCGCGATGGGCGTCTGGTACTTGCATAGTGATTTGTGGACTGAAGAACTAGCAGTACTTCATGCACTATTCACAGTTAACAGGTAACATACCTAATGTCATTGGGAGCTGGTGTCATTTAACCAAACCATGGTAACAGAAGTTCCTATATATCTGAACCATGCAAAGCGAGGACTACCTGTATTTCCATCACAGAGCAGATAAAAAACACCTCTAGATCGCCCAAAGAAGGAAAATTCTAATGGGATGTTATCACTGTCAATCACTCGACAGGCAGTGATCAGGCTGTGTCATGGAATCTGACCGTGCACAAATTTCTTTGCCCATCATTCTTAGGAAGAGAGATTTCTTCAGAGAAAACCTAATCAGAAGAAAGGTGGAAAACCAATTTAAGTTATATCTAATCATTTACTTAACATTTATAAAGGGATTTTGTTGGAAAACCTTGTTAACTGATTACCGTGTACTGGAGTTTTGAATCTCTTACTACATTATTTAAACACAAACAGAATATAATTAACTGCCTTAGGGTCTGCTAAAGAAAAAAGGGTCTCCCCTGATCTGTGGCCAGGGACCCGGACCACACAACCCAAGTGAAGCCACATCCAGTAAAAGCTCTCTTACTCTTAGATTTTAGAACCAATACTGGGTGAGATGAACCAGGGATAAAGCAGGGAAACATTTAAAACGAGGTGTGAGTATGCACACACATATATGTTAAACATTTTATTTTGACTCCACACACAGAAGTATGCTCACTTGCCAATCTTCTGAAAGAAACCTGAGTAGGTCTTAGGAGCCCACTGACTGAAGTTACCTTTCCTTTACAAACCACGTACTTAATGGATGTCTGCAATTTCTACAATTGAGTTTTTCTAAAGGGATGCAACAATACAAACACTAGCAAGGCAGCCTGAGCCCAGAACCTTTCTACATTTTTACCAGACTCTTCCCAATCTCAGAGCAGATCCATCCACATGATCGAAGAGTAAATTTCTTAGTTACACTCCTGGGTCAGCATTCATCGTGGGTTTCACAGAAATAACTCTTTTTGCAATCAGTGTTCATTGGTTTATATAATTTTTACAAAACTGCATAATAACAGGAATAAGAACAACTTGGCCTAACAGCTTTGGAAACAAACCCAACAGCCCATGGTGGACACACGCCTCCACTAGGGGGAGCGCGGGTCCCCAGGGCTGCTCTGTGCACACAGGGGTGGGTAGTGGACAGTCAGTCACAGAGGCCAAGGTGAGAGAGCGGCTCCTGTGTGTAAAAGCTATTTAGAAACCAGTGTGGATATAAAGAGGCTACATTTTCAAATTCTTTTCTATAAGACTCACCAGGTAAGGATGAAAGAATTTCTATATCTACTTGCTGGGTGTCTGGATTGTGGCTTAATATTTTTCCTTCCTTTCAAAAATAAAAGTCCAAGTCAAAAACCAACAGGTGAGACATTGTGAATATACTAAAAGCACTGAATTATTATTTGAATTAAAACCTTCAAATAGTTTATACACTTTAAAATGGTTAAAATGGTGAGTTTTACGTTATATAATTTTATCTCAATATTAAAAGTTTTTTAAATAAATCAACATGTAGGAGAAATAAAACTCCCACACCCCAAACCACACAAATAAATGATTATTCCCCTGGTCTAAAACATTCCAGGGTCAGGTACCACACAACTAGGGACAGCCCCTATAGCCCCAAGTTTGCTAACTATTCAAACTAGCCAATCCGAAACTGTTTCTCCCATCCCCCCCACCCCCAGGCCTGTCCCAAGGAAACCCCCATTAAAGGCCCCGGACGGGCTTTCTCTTCACTCTTGTCTGTGCCGCTGGATGACAGCCAGGTGCTTTCCTCTGGGGCCCTGCACGGCATGGTATTGCCCCTCCCCCGGGAAATGTAAGTAATAAACTCTTCTTTCATTGCACTGGTTTCTGTGGCATCACTCAGCAGCCTTCATCAATTATAACCCCACAGGTAGGTACGTACACGTGAGACGGGGTCAAATGTGGAGGAGACTACGTTCTTTGAAGATAGATTTGACTTTGGAAGACAAGCTTCAGGAATAAAGCCAGTGCCGAGCTAGATAACAGCACTCAAGGTCAAAGCAAAAAAAGTAGGACTGATCTTCACTCTCCAAATGGTTTTGAAAATCATTTACAGAAAGTTCTAAGTACTGGGAAAATAAGGAAATAGCTTTCCAGGGTAAGAACTATGATGACCAACATGGATTTAATAAGCATTAAAAAGAATCAGTATTGTGGCTCAGTCAGTTGAGCGTCCAACTCTTGATTTCAGCTGAGGCTGCGATCCCACGGTCATGCGATCGAGCCCTGTGTCAGGCTCTGAGCTGAGTGCAGAGCTTGCTTAAGATTCTCCCCCAACCCTCTTCTTACTCTGCCCCTCTCCCCAACTCATGCACTCTCTCTCTAAAATATAAAAATAAAAATAAAATAAAAAATCAGTATCCTCTAGAATTGTAATCCATAGAGGTTGTGGAATGCGCCAACTCTATATTCTATCTCCTAGTACATCACAGAATTAGTCACCTATGGTGATAAAGCACCCTGGTTTGCCCAAGATAAGTCCATTTACATCTCCTTCCAGGAGATTCATTGCTGCAATATTAATCCTTTTCACGCACAAGTATCCTGCTTTACAGGATAAATTATATGTCACCTGGATGAAGGGGCCAAGATGAAAAAGGGGACAAAACACCAGTTACCCAGAACCGACCTACCTTCCAGCCTGCTTTTGAGGAAAGGTTCTTACCAAGATGTTAAAAGTCTTCCAAGGTTTAAAAAAAAGTCCTCCAAGATTATCAACTCAGTTTTTAAATGGATTTATATTCTGTACATTTTTTTTTCTGTTTATTTTTGAGACAGAGTGTGAGCGGGGGAGGGGCAGAGAGAGGGGGGAGACAGAGAAGCAGGCTCTAGGCTCCAAGCTGTCAGCACAGAGCCTGACGTGGGGCTTGAACTCAAGAACCACGAGATCATGACCCGAGCTGAAGTCGGACACTTATACCGACTGAGCCACCCAGGTGCCTGTATTCTGTACATTTCATAAAAATAAAAAAACTGCATTTTAACAAAGTTTTTAACACAATTTTGAATGGATGGAAAAAGGAAGGGACCGTGTAACTCTATAATCCCACGGATGGCGTCAAGCTTTTACTGAATTGTGATAAAGCTCATGCCAATGTGAGCTCCCATACAGATGCCAAGTCAGTCAATTCCAAGGGCAGTACTTGTGAGTTACCTGTGGTGAGCAGATAATGCAATAGGGGCCATGTTAGACCATAAGAATCTGCAGTAATTCACAATTATATAAAATAGATTCCTGTGATGAAAGCAACCAAACATTCTGGCTGAGGGCTAGTATTTTCTTTCAAAGTTTAGGATCCCGGGAGAGTGGCATTAAAATAAGCTTGTGATGTCTAAGCTAGTTAGAAAAACACGACTTAAATAAAATTAAACTCATCATTATTCTACATTCTTCCCCAAATGTAAGGAAAATAAGACTGGGGGCTCCACCGTGATCCTGTTAAAAAGTTTAAATCTTGATAATGCTCCCATTTTTTACAACACTCGTTACTGAAAAAAATCAAAATTATCCGTATTAGCAGTATTAAATATGACCTTAGCTTCTTTAATATCCTGACACTTAGTTATTTTTAAATAAAAAGCCTGGGGCGCCTGGGTGGCTTAGTTGGTTAAGCGTCTGACTTTCGCTTAGGTCGTGATCTCGCCGTTCGTGGGTTCGAGCCCCGCGTCGGGCTCTGTGTTGACTGCCAGCTCAGAGCCTAGAGCCTGTTTCAGTCTGTGCCTCCCTCTCTCTCTGACCCTCCCCTGCTCACGCTGTCTCTCTCTCTCTCTCTCTCCTAGAAATAAAAAAAAAAAAAACATTTAAAATAAATAAATAAATAAATAAATAAATAAAAATAAAAAGCCTTACCTTGTAGTCAGAGACATCGGGAGAATAATCGGACGTCAGCTCCAGAAGCTAAAGAAGAAGAAAGAGCCCACACATACACACGCCCCGCGGCCCCCCTCGCCCGCCCCCGAGAAGCAGCAGTGGCAGGGCGCCCCTCCACCACCCTGGGAGCCCTACCATGGCCTGCGGCCAACAGAGGTTCCATGGGAGGGGGTTCTTCGGTTTGGGGGTGGCGAGGGGCTGGTGACATGCAGAGCCTTTCTTAACTGAGCGCCTGCTAGGTTCCACACACCAGGCTCAGCCATTTTTATTCATTCAGAAAACAGTGAGTAGGCACCTACGACATGCTAGGCACAACAACAGGACACATGGGATCTGGAAGGGTCTGTGTACAACACGGGTATATAATCCTGACCTGCCGATGAGGAAGTTTATCTGGAGGGAGAAGAACCTTCTCTGGCCTAATTGGTGTTGTTCTAAAATATACCTTAAATGCAATCTTTTCGCCGACTTGCGGGGCAGCTGCTAACAGCGGTAACAAACTGTAGTCCTTCTTGTGTGTCTCTACCGGGTTCTGAAAGACAGCATTAGCCACGGGACTTTGTTACTGGTGGAAAAAGTGGGCCGTGACCTCACCCGCAGACACGCCCCACGGCCCCACGGCCGGGCGGAGGAGGCACACTCCTGGTAGTGATACTTGCCTGGATAATAGTAGAGGAGTTTGTTACCACTTCATTTAATTGCTGGTGCTTCAGACACTCAGGGCTTCTATTTAGCACAAAGGACAAGGCTTGCCCTCGGCCTCGGCCTCGGCCCCGCATACCCCGACCCCTAGCTCCCTTCCAAGAAAGAAGGTCCTCTCCTCGGCCCCAGCCTCTTCCCAAGCCGGTGGGGAGAGTCACGTTGGGGGGAGGCCTGGGAGGAGCCTGTCTGGCACCGTGCGCGTCCGACAGCTTCCAGCCGGCGGCAGCGTTTGGGGTCTGCGCGCCCGGCCCCGGGCCCGGACAGCCTCTTCCTGCAAAGAGGCCTACGGGCTTCAGGAACCCCACAGAGCGCTCCGGGGCGCTCCTCGACAGCGTGCCCTGGTCGTCGGACTCCGAGCTGGAGTCCGAACTGGAAGATGACGCCCTGGTCGCCCTGCTCTTGACGGCCGCGGAGGAGAGGCCGGTTTTGGCGGCCGCTCTGCCTGCAGGCGTGTTTTTGGTCGAGGACCCTTCCTTTGCTAACTCAGTGGCTATCTTCTCTGAGGAATTATTTCTGACCTCCAAGACGACATTGCTGAGACCGTCGCTGGTGGACTCATAAGACTCGGACTCTGAGGAGGAAACGGGGCTGTCTTTCGGACAGACTCCGGCGCCGCCTTTCCTTCTGGCTTTGGCAAGGCTGTTCCTAGCAGGTGCGCCTTTCGGAGGACCACCGCTCGACACGGCCCAGTCCTTCGCCGGCTGCGCTTTAGAAGACCTCGAGTTCTTTGTCTGCCTTTTAAGTTCGCATCTCTCCTTTCTCTTTGGTGATTTTCTTTTGGTTTCTTCGTCATCCCCGTCCACGGCACTGCACACGGCTTTGTTCTTCCTCTTGCTTTTTTTCCTCACACCCTGATCTGGGACAGCTTTAGGCTCTAGGTCCAAGGTCTTCTCGTTGTTACTGTTCTCCTGCCTCTTCCAATGCTTCTTTGAATTTTTGTAATCTGCTTCGGTTTCTTCACCCTCCTCCAACTTAAATGCCCTCTTCTTTGCTTTTCTAGGTAATAAATGACTATCGTCACCATTCTTGACTGTTACAGTATTCTCCGCAGTTTCTCTCTCTTCTAATTTAACTCTAGCAAAACGACAAGAGAGAAAGCTACAGTGAGCACTCACAGGCAAGTCTCCAGGACACAGCTACTTACCGGGATGGCCGCACACTGTCATCAGTCAATGAACAAATGGCAAATCACTGCAGGATGAAAGACTCTTTTTGACAAAATGGTCTATGTGGCATCATTTAGAGTCAACTCTCAAGTGACTAGTTTTATTTACTGAATATCGACTGCATCCCAAACATCTTCTAGAAATTTTCTCTAACCTAAAAGCCACCACGAAGTAGGTAGCTTTCGTTTTAAGACAGATCACAAAATTACAGTTCAGACAAGTAACCTGCCCACGATCCACAGTTAATAGGCAGTAGAGATGGGATGCAAACCTCAGTTTGTCTAACTTCAAAGTTCACAATCTCTCCACTCTATTATGCTGCCTACCCCAAATGGTGATACTGCAGAGTATCCATTTTTGTTTTTATTTTTTAAATGTTTATTTATTTATTGAGAGAGAAGCACGCACGTGCAGGTAGTAGGGTAGGGGCAGAGGGAGAGAGAGAGAATCCCAAGCAGGCCCCGTGCTGTTACTACAGAGCCCAACATGGGGTTTGATCCCACAAACCATGAGATCATGACCTGAGCCGAAATAAGAGTCACATTTCACCACCTTAAATTTTATTAAAAATAGAAAAGATTCTTTAAAAATGTGGGCTGTGTTTTCTTAAAATCAGATTCATTTTCATTTTGTTGAAATTTAGGAAAAACTTCTAACAATTTATGTTCTCTGGGGTAGTGACAGCCATTGTAAAATTCCATGACATTCTATGATTATTAACCTTATGTGTCACCTTGACTGGGCCATGGGAGGCCAGATATTTGGTTAAACTTTGTTCTGGGTTTGTCTGTGAGGGTGTTTCTAGATGAGATTACCGTTTCAATGGGCAGACTATTGCCCCTGGGGGGCTCAGTCAGTTAAGCATCTGACTTTGGCTCAGGTCATGATGTCACAGTTCGAGGGTTAGGTTCGAGGGTTAGGTTCGTTGGGCTCTGTGCTGACAGCTCAGAGCCTGGAGCCTGCTTTGGATTCTGTGTCTCCCTCTCTCTCAGCCCCTCCCCCATTCATGCTCTGTCTCTCTCTGTCTCAAAAATAAATAGACATTAAAGAAAAAATTTTTCAGTGGGTAGCTAAGCCAAGCAGATGGTCCACCCCAATGTGAATGGGCCCAACCCAATCCACTGAAGGTCTGAACAGAATTCCCTCTCTCTGCCCACCTGTCTGTCTGAGCTGGGACCTCGGCCTGCGCCTGCCTGCAGTGCAGACTCTCACTAGAATAGGAACTTATACCCTCAGCTCCCCTGGGTCTCAGGCCTTTGGACTTGGGCTAGAACTTTATCATCGGTTCTCTTACATCCCTGGCTTGCCAACTGTGGATCTTGGGACTTCTCAGCCTCCCTAATCTCTGAGCCAATTCGTTATAACAAATTCATATCTCTCTATATTTATTATTTCCTATTGCTTCTGGTTTTCTGAAGAACCCTCACACACATTTCATCCAAAATTATTAAAGGAATTCTATTGCTCCATGAACTGGCAACAGCTGATTCTAATATGTGTAGTCCAATGACAGAGAGCTGAGAGGGTCCCCACTGTCAAGTGCATAGCGGGTGCTCAAAACTGCCTGCTAAAAACAGACATTATACTTTTAATATGCTTATATCGAGCTATATATTTCATCAAATATTTTTAGTCACCAGAGAAGGATGTATAATCATATTTTAATATAGAGTATAATTGGTGGATAAGAATATATAAGCATTCTTTAAGTTCTTTTAAGGGCCTGTAATACCCGTAATACCTGTAATACCTGATTTATCTCAATGCGGCAGTTGAAAATAATCCTCAATTATTCTTCAGACTACACAGATACACAGACACAATCAAAGCAAAGTCAAAGCTACTGATATCAGGATAAAGAGAGAGAGAGAAAAAAAGAATGAACGATCAGAGATTTAGATGATCATAAAAGCGTATCGCCCTCTATTCCCAGGATGGACATCAGCATCTAGCAGCGAGGAAGTGATTCTTAAATGGGCAGAAACTAGCTTGGCATCCTGTGAAGCTAAGAACTACTGGGGAAGCTGAAGAATACTGGATTGTCCCTTGACATTCTTGATCAACTTGTTTTACTTTGTAGCACTGCTATGATGCAAGTTTCAATTCTGAAGCAACGAGTTCGGACCAAATTTTCCATCCAACTTTGAAAATGGTGGTAAGAGTCTCTGCTCAGTCATTGCAGTTTATTAAACCACTGGAGCCCAGCACCTGCTGCCCTCAGAGGAGCCTGCGACCTACAAGACTGTCACGCTTACAAAGCCACCCTTAGCGTCCACCTCACCCATCTGAAGACAGTGAAGCCGTGGATACTGATATGAAGGTATGGCCCGTGACTGCTGCCGCCTTATTCACGCTCTGCTGTTCCCGAGGAGAATCATTCTGTTTGGAACATAGTAAGACCAAGAGACAAAATGCCACCCAGAGAATAAGAAACGGTTTGGCTGGGTCTGCTGAGTTACCAATTCCCTTCAGGGTGCGCACCTTCCCTGGCAATGTCCTTCATTTCTCTGTATTGGATCATAGACAATAAATAGAGCCGTCCTTGTACAAAGAGAAGTGAATCACCTATGCAACTGGCAATGAAAAAGATTTAAATCCAAGAAATTTCTAAAACAGACTCTCACTGTTCATGCAGACTCTCTGTAGGGCAAGCTAGGTGATATTATCAAAATGCAAGGTGCTCCCGGGTTTTGGGTTTTTTTTTTTTTTAAGATTTATTTCTCTCAGTAATCTCTACACACCCTGTGGGGCTTAAACTCAGACTCTGAGATCAAGAGTTGCATGCTCTCTAGACTGAGCCAGCCAGGTGCCTCAAGGTGCCTCCTTTAAATGTCCAACTTATTTTCTTTCTTTTAATATTTATTTATTGGGGGGGGGGGCAGGGAGGGGCAGAGAGAAGGAGACAGAGGATCCAAAACTGGCTCTGTGCTGATAGTAGTGAGCCCAATGTGGTGCTTGAACTCACGAACCGCAAGATCATGACCTAAGCCGAAGTCGGACGCTCAGTCAACTGAGCCACCCAGGTACCCCTAAACGTGCGATTTCACTTCTAGGAGTCTATCACACAGAAATAAAGCCACGCCCAACTGCACAGCCTGACCCCCACACCCACTGCCTGCCACCCACTTTAGGCCAGGGCCAAAGCGATTGATTGGGTTTGAATCCTTGTTCTGCCGTTTTAAATTTTTAGATTACCTCGACCTTTCTCATTTGTAAAAATGGGGTAGTGCTAATAATTTTAATGATGGGCTATCATATATATTTCAGGCAGTGCCAGACTCAGAGCAAGTACTATCCAAATGGTAACCCTAAGTTTTGTTGATACAGTAAATGTTGTTAGTCCTCTCAGGGCAGGGGTTGGTGGGCTTTTCATCAATTTGTCCCATCAGATGGGGGTGAAATTCAGCAAGGAGAGTAAAGGTAGAGCTGCACTCTCTTTGGGTGCCCTCTGCTCCCTGCAGCCTCCCTCCCGTCTGGTTGTGGCATTATCACCATCAGGGAGGTAAAGCAACTTGACCAAGGGAACACAGCTAATGAGTCATGATGCAAGCCCAGGGTTCCGACTCCAGACCTTGAATTCTTAATCCCGCTGCTCACTTCCCTTTCACACAATACTGGGAAAAAGGAACCCCTGTATTGGTGGCATAAATACAGCCCTGTACGACTTTTCTGGAGGCCAGTGTGACAGTACATATCAAATTTTAAAATCTGACCAAGAAGTACCTCGTCTGGGGGAGCATCCTGCGGAGTCACTGCCTAAGCACACAAGACACACAAAGGTGTGCCCCACAGCAGTGTCTACCAGGGGAAACCTGAAAACAGCTAGCGTGGGGGCACCCAGCCGACTCAGTCGGCACAACACGAGACTCTTGATCTCAGGGTTGTGACTCTGAGCCCCATGTTGGGTGTAGAGATTACTTAAAAACAAAATCTTAAAAAACAAACAAAACAAACGAAACTGCCATGGTTTAAGTGTTGTGTCTCCACAAAATTCATGTTGAAATCCTAACACCAATGTGACAGGATTAGGATGTGGGGACTTGGGGAAGGTGCTTAGGTCATGAGCGTGGACCCCCCCATGAACCGGATTAGTGCTCTTACAAAAGAGACCCCACAACACTCCCTAGTCCCGTCCACCATGTGACGGCACAGTGAGAAGGGGCCATCTATGAACCGGAAAGCAAGCCTCAGCAGGCACCAAATCTGCTGGCACCTTGATCTTGACTCTCCAGTCTCTGAACTGTAAGAAATTAATTTCCATTATTTTTTAAATTTATTTTTAAATTTTTCAATGTTTATTTATTTTTGAGACAGAGAGAGAGAGCAAGAGAGAGAGAGAGAGACAGTACGAGCAGGGGAGGGACAGAAATAGAGAGGAAGAAACAGAATCCAAAGCAGGCTCCTGGCTCTGAGCTGCAAGCACAGAGCCCTACATAGGGCTCGAACTCACAAACCATGAGATCATGACCTAAGCTGAAGTTGAACGCTAAACCAGCTGAGCCAACCAGGCACTCCAATTTGTTGTTTATAAGCTACCCAGTTTATGGTATTTTTATTATAACAGCCCAAATGAACTAAGATAACAACCCATTAATAAGAGGTTGGTTAAATAAATTTACATGTCATGTAAAAGAATACTATGTGGCATTTAGAAAGAATCATGTAGGGGTACCTGGGTGGCTCATACCCTTGATTTTGGCTCAGGTCAGGATCGCAGGGTCATAGGATTGAGCCCTGTGTCAGGCTCCACGCTGAGCATGGAACCTGGTTAAGATTCTCTCTCTCCCCCTCTCCCTCTGTCCCTCTCCCCTGCTCATGCACTCTCTCTCTAAAATAAAAAAAATAAAATAAAATTAATTTAAAATAAATTAAAAAAAAAAAAAAAGAATGATGTACATCACATACTATATACACTAAAATGGAAGATACCCAAGATATGTTAGGGAAAAAGTGAGGTGCAGGGGTGCCTGGCTGGCCCAGTCAATTGAGCGTCTGACTCCTAATTTTGGCTCAGGTCATGATCCCAGGGTCATGGGGTCAAGTCCTGCATCAGGTTCTGCGCTCAGCAGAGAACTTAAGATTCTCTTTCTCTCTCTCAGGGCGCCTGGATGGCTCAGTCAGTTAAGCATCCAGCTCTTGATTTCAGCTCCAGTCATGATCTCATGACTCATGAGTTCGAGCCCCTTAGGCTCCACGCTGACAATGTGGAGCCTGCTAGGGATTCTCTCTCTCCCACTCTCTCTGCCCCTCCCCAGCTTTCTCTCTCTCAGCCCCTCCCCCACTGGCACCCGCTCTGTCTCTCTCTCTAAAATAAAGTTAAAAAAAAAAGTCAGGTGTAGAAGAATATGTCTATTATAACAGCATGTGTATTTAAAAAGTACGTTTCAGGGGCACCTGGATGGCTCAGTCGGTTAAGCGTCCGACTTCGGCTCAGGTCATGATCTCACAGTTGGTGGGTTCAAGCCCCGCGTCAGGCTCTGTGCTGACAGCTAGCTCAGAGCCTGGAGTCTGCTTCGGATTCTGTGTCTCCCTCTCTCTCTGAACCTCCCCTGCTCATGCTGTCTCTCTCTCTTTCTCTCAGAAATAAATTTTAAAAAAATAAAATAAAAAAAATAAAAGGTACGTTTCCATGAGTACGGAAAAAAATATACGAAGACAGACCCCAAACTTAACTGAGGATACTTCTAGAGAGTGGGATATGGGAAGAGTATGTGAGAAGAGAAATAAGGGACTGTTTACCTTGAGCTATTCTGAAGTATAAATGTTCTTCCTCTGTCAAAGCAGACGAAGTGGGGGCTCAGGAGAATGGGCGGCCAGGACAAGGCCATGGCATACAAGTGCGGAGAAGCCTCCCAAGCCTTGAGGGGCCCCCGGCTCACCTCTCCTCATTAGACTCAGTGCGCCCAGCAGGCGCTACAGAGCTCTTCTGCGGCCAGACACGTCTCTTCACCGAGTCACGCTGGCTTCTGCCTCTACAGCCACAGGGGGCCACCCAACGCTTCCTTTCCTACGTGTCCTTCAAGGTACTGCAAAATTCCCTGACCACTTGTGTTTCACAAACATGCCTCCCTTCTCAACTGTCTCCTGTGCTCAGCAGCACATAACTATCCACTGACTGCCTGCATCACACAAGAAGGCAATACACAAAAACGTGAAACTAGTTACTTTGGTCTACTCCAACAATATTAGGTGCCTTTAAGAAAAGAGACTAGGCTTTCTTCTGCAGCTCTGAAGAAAGGTGAATCTGCTGGGGGAAGACAGAATGAGAAAACAGGAAACCGCAGACACATATAAAATGTTTACAAATTCAATTTATCCCCCCAAGGTCTGCCCCACTGAAGCCCGCTGAAGAGATATTTCTTACCACCCACAATTACGCCTTTGAAGTGTTCAGGGGGAATTTGGCCCGCAATTGTGCTGTATTTATTTCTTATAACAGCCATCATCAATTGCTTTTGACATTGTTAACTTCATTATATAGAGTGTAATTCCCAGATGATTCATTAATTGAGGTGTAACTGCAGTTAGTGAGCAGCAAGTTAGTCATTTATTAGGCAGAGGATGGTTCAGAAAGTGAACTTAACAGAATGGGATGCAGTCTTCAGAACTGTAACATTTAAGTAGTTTCTCAATTGCAGAAATAATGGGAAGCTATTTCAGTGAATAAAAAGGAAAAAGAGCTCTTCTTGAAATGTAGACTATTTCAAGTTGTCTTTAGAAACAACTAAACATCATTAGTAAATCACAGCATTCCCAATTCTAAGAGAGAAACACACAAAGATGTAGTCATTGTTCCAAATTGAATTCCGTGACATTCTGAAGGAATCTTATGAATTTCACACGCTCTAAGGAAAAGAATATTCAACAAAGAGCAAGCAGAGGAAGCAGCCTGGTTCACAACTCAAGAATCTAAACAGAAATGATCATGTCTTACCATTTTATTGAGATAAATCAACCACACATGGGCAATTCATTCCACAATGGCTCCTCGATACTCACTTCTGTATCATTTTTTACTTGTATTTTTTTAGTAGTTTATTTTGAGAGAGAGAGAGAGAGCAAGCAGGGAAAGGGCAAAGAGAGAGAGGGAGAGAGAGAATCCCAAGCAGACTCTGAACTCTCAGTCCAGAGCCCTCTTCGGGGCTCAGCCTCATGACTGTGAGATCATGACCTGAGTCAAGATCAAGAGTTAGATGCTCAACTGACTTAAGCCACCTAGGCGCTCCTCAGTATCATTTTCTTTTACACTGTATTAAATTGTATTTGATTGTATTAAATTTTAATTGTTTAAAGCATATTTAAAACCATTTGTTTCCAATTCCCAAAAAGGTCCCAAACACCTACTTAAATGAACCATAAAACACCCAGGTGAGACCAGAATGACACCGTAAGTCGCAGGAGACCTGGCAGGAGCTTACCAAGGCTGGACAAGCTGCACTCTTTGAAGAAAACAGGACCGTTCTAGCTGCCGGGGGTCCCCTGCACCTGACCTTGCCAGCCGCCAGGGGAAGGCCGGGTCTCAGGCACATCCGCATGGTGCACGTGTAACACCGGGTCTGGCAAAGCGTGGGCTTGCTACATCAGGGCTGCAGGAACCAGGCGCTCGGCCCAGGCTCCAAGATCACTGTCACTCCGAGTCTGGCCCACTAACCACTTGTCCAGGACACTCCGGAAAGGAGGCTCCTCACCGGCCTAGACCAATCAGCATCCCCCCGGCTCACGAATGCGCAGCTTGACAGCCCCACCCCGCGCCCACCCCCACTCCCCAGCCCTCACCCACGCGCGGCCTCCAGAGGCCCGAGGCGCCCCGGGCGTGCGCAGGCGCGTCCCCGGCCCGCCGCCCACCCCGCCACCCCCAGCCCCGCGCCTCGCACACCTGAGGCAGTCGTTGTCCCGTACCAGGCGCGCGCTCTCGGCTGGGGGCAAAAGCCCCCCCTCCAAGTAGAGGCCCAGGATGGCCCCAGAACTGAAGCCGAAGCGCTGGCGGATGAGACTAATGAGATCCGTGACCACTCGGCATCTGTTCAAGTCGACGAGAAGCCAAAAGGCCGTGCAGTGCGGGGTGGCTGGCGGCGGATAATCAAATTGAAGCCGTAGCCTAACCGTCTCGGAGGCCGCCATCTTGCCCGTTGCTCAACGGAAGCCGAGAGACACCACTGGGCTACCGAGAGGCGTGCTCGGCGGCCCGCCCCCTGCGGCCTTTAACGAGGGCCCCCTATTGGCCGCCAGTGGCTACTGCGGGCTCTGTGACCGGCAAGAACCCGGAGCTGGGTTGATTCGATTCGATTTTGTTCGATGGTCTGGGGAAGACTATAAGTGAAATGCCTTTATTCCTTTCCCGCTGAGCTTTATGCAGGGTTAGGCAACTCTCTGGATAAACAAGCACTTCTCAGTAGTTGTCTTCTAAGATATTTGCTTATATATGGAAGAGAATTTCAAAAAACGCCATTACTCCCAATACATTCAGTTTTCAAAATTTTTCATGGTAAAAGTGTTGGAAAAGATGCAATGCCTGGTGTATTGTAAATATCGAGGTGTTAAAATAAAACCATTAATTATTCCTTTTCATGTGCCTACGGGAATTTAAAGACGTTACCACCATCCATATTTTAAAATATAAAAATAGCCCACTTATTGGGGCGCCTGGGTGGCTTAGTCGGTTAAGCGTCCGACTTTCGCTTGGGTCATGATCTCGCCGTTCGTGGGTTCGAGCCCCGCGTCGGGCTCTGTGCTGACTGCCAGCTCAGAGCCTGGAGCCTGTTTCAGTCTGTGACTCCCTCTCTCTCTGACCCTCCCCTGCTCACGCTGTCTCTCTCTCTCTCCTAGAAATAAATAAAACATTAAAAAAAAAATAGCCCACTTATTAACTACTAGGTAAGTAAATCAAAAAGTGCACATCATTCAAATTTCCATTCCATTTTCTCACATGGTATATTAAGTCCTTTAGTTTGCATGCCAAAGATATGAATTATGAATTATTACTATTCCCATTGTGAACATTTATTTTTTCTTATTTTTTAATGTTTTTATTTATTTTTGAGAAAGAGAGAAAGCATAAGCAGGGGAGGGTCAGAGAGAGAGGGAGACACAAAATCTGAAACAGGCTCCAGGCTCTGAGCTAGCTGTCAGCACAGAGCCCGACGTGGGGCTCGAAGCCACAAACTGTGAGATCATGACCTGAGCTGAAGTTGGACGCTTAACCAACTGAGCCACCCAGGCACTCCTCCCATTTTAAAGATTTTTTTTTTTAAAGTTCAGATTAAGTAACCCAAGATTACTGGACTAATAAATGCTAATACTTTATAGTCAGTGGACACATTGAAAAAAAATTTTTGGTAAGTTTTATATTCCTGTAACCCTAATGCTTTAGGTCTTCTGAGTTATCATTAATGTTATGAGTGGTACACAATTGATTAAAATAGCATAAAACATCACACATTTTGGTACATAATTATTAAACAGGGAAAATAAAATAGACATGGAAAGATATCTATTAAGGAAATAGATGGCGCTGCTTTTTTTATTATTATTATTTATTCAAGTCTTTCTGTATGAATATTGGTAAATGAGACAGGGTTCCACATTGATTCTAGATCAATTGTTTGCTTTTATAGATGTAAAGTCGTAAGAAAACTTGTTCATTTATATAAGTAGAGAAGAATAGAAGGGCTTGAGGCACCTGGATGGTTCAGTCAGCTGAACGTCTGGCTTGGGCTCAGGTCATGATCTCATCGTTCATGAGTTCGAGCCCCACATAGGGCTCTCTGCTGTCAGCGGAACCTGCTTTGGATCCTCTCTCTGCCCCTCCCCAGCTTATGCACACATGTATGCATGCGCTCTCTCTCAAAAATAATAAATAAGCATAAAAAGAATAGAAGACCTTGTGTCATTGGCAAAGTTAACCAATTGTTTAAACTCCTTACAAATTACACGCTAAAGTTTCCTAGAGACCTTCCTTTAAAAATTAATTTCAGGAGCGCCTGGGTGGCTCAGTTAAGAGTCCAACTTCAGCTCAGGTCATGATCTCACGGTTTGTGGGTTTGAGCCCCGTGTGTGGCTCTGTGCTAGTAGTTCAGAGCCTGGAGCCTGCTTCAGATTCTATGTCTCCCTCTCTCTCTCTCTCCTCTCCATTTGTTCTCTCTGTGTCTCTCAAAAATAAATAAACATTAAAAAAAAAGAATGTTATATGAGTGAAATCGTGAAATATGTAATCTTTTAGAATCGGCTTTTGTTTGCCCCAGCAGAATTCTCTGGAGCTTCAACCAGGTTGTTGTGTATGTCCACAGTCTGCCTCCTACTACAGCCTAATAGCATTCCATGGCACGGACGAACCAGTCTTTTTGCCCATCTGGGTTGAAGGCCTGTTGACTCTGTTCAAGGCCATTTGGGTTGTTTCTAGTTTGGGGCTATTACAAATAAAGCTGCTATAAACATTTATTTATTTTATGGGAACATAAGTCTTCATTTCTCTGGGATAAATGCCCAGGACTACAATTGCTGGGTCATATGATAGTTGCATGGTTAGTTTTTTAAGACATCGCCAAACTGTTTTTCAGAGAAGCTGTACCATTCTGTATTCCCACTTGCAATGTATGAGGTGATCCCATGTATTCATATCTTGGCCACCCTTTGGCATCATTGCTATTTTTCATTTCTGCCTTTCCGACAGATGTGTAGTCATATAGTTTTAATTTGCATTTCCCTAATGGCTAATCATGTTAAACACATTTCCCTGTGCATATTTGCTATCATTTTCAGTGAAATATCCCTTCAAGTCTTTTATCTGTGTTCTGTGTGGATTGCTTGCTTTTCCTTACTGTTGAATTTTGAGAGTTCTTTATATATTCTAGATACTATTACTACTATTCTGTTAGATGTGGTGTTTGCAAATATTTTCTCCCACTCTGTAGTCTGTCTTTTCATTCTCTTAACAGGGCTTTCCATAAAGCAAAGGTTTTCCAATTTAATGAGGTCCAGTTTATCAGTTTTTCCTTTTGTAAGTCATGTTCTTGGTATCTTTTGATAACTTGGTACCTCTTTGCCTGGCACTGTTCCAAATTTTCTCTTCTCCCCTCCCCCACAAACTCTTATATTTTATATTGAAGTCTGTGGTCCATTTTGAGTAATTTTTTTAATGTTTTATTTATTTCTGAGAGAGAGAGAGAGAGAGAGCTTGAGGAGGGGAGGGTCAGAGAGAGAGGGAGACACAGAATCTGAAACAGGCTCCAGGCTCTGAGCTGGCTGTCAGTACAGAGCCCAACACGGGGCTGGAACCCACAAACTGTGAGATCATGACCTGAGCCAAAGTTGGACACTTAACCAACTGAGCCATCCAGGTACCCCTGAGTTATTTTTTTTTATAAGATGTGAGACTTATATTGAAGTCTCTGGATATCCTCTTTTCTTTGCCTCTGGATATCCAATTGCTCTAACACCATTGGTTGAAAAGGCTATGTTTCCTCCATTGAATTGTTTTTGAACTGTAGACACTGAGGACACAGGTTGCCCCAAGATGGGCCACTTTGACATGAAGATTATTTTGAGCTGAAGGCAATCGAGACCCTATAGGCTCAAGAGAAAATTTGCCCCTCCCTTAACTACATAGAAGAATCTAAGCTGGGGGTCTTTCCCAGGATAAGGATTATTAGCAGAGAACAATTTTATCTGAGTGACCCATCTGTATGTCAGGGCAAACATCTAATTACCTTCTGTCTGCTCTTCTTATGGCTCTTACCGTTTCCTCTGAAGTTCCAGACCCTCACTCCTTTCTCCTCAGTTCAGGATGACATATGTAACTCATTTTGCTTGTCTGGAATTTCCATGCCTGTGTGGATTCCCCGTATGTAAGCTATTACATATGATTTTCTCCTGTTAATCTGTATATATATCTAGCTGTATATCAGCTAGAAGCACCTTTGAGGGGGGCAAGAATTCTTGCTCCTCCCAAAAAGTTTGTCAAAAATCACTTGGGGAGCAGGGACAGAGAGAGAGAGGGAGAGAGAAAATCCTAAGCAGGCTACATGCTCGGAGCAGAGCCTGATGTGGGGCTTGAAGCCACAAACCGTGACATCATGACCTAAGCTGATATCAAAAGCTGGACCTTTAACTACCCGGGTGCCCCCTAAGATTTTATTTTTAAGTAATTACGCCTTAGGTGAGTCTCAAGCCCACAACCTGAGATTGAGACTCATAAGCTCTACTGACTGAGCCAGCCAGTACCCAGGAGTGTGATCTTTTTTAAAATGTTTATTTTTGAGAGAGACAGAGCATGAGTGGGGGAGAGGCAGAGAGAGAGGGAGAAACAGAATCCGAAGCAGGCTCCAGGCTCTGAGCTGTCAGCACAGAGCCCGACTCGGGGTTTGAACTCATGAACCGCGGAGATGATGACCTAAGCCGGGGTCGGACACTTAATCAACTGAGCCACCCAGGCACCCCAGGAATATGATCTTTAGTAGTCAAACTAGAATCTCCTGGTCAACTCTAGTTAAGTAATCTACATGATAACTCCCCCAACACACACACACACAAGAAAGGCCTTGCCTGAAACAATCCTTTTCTTTTGTTGGTAACTTCCTTACCCAGAGGTTTCTGCCTACAAAAGCCTCCTATTTTGTACAGCTCCTTGGATTTTCTTTTTCTTTCTCTCTTTTCTTCTTTCTTTCTTCTAGACGGTATGCTGCCAGATTCATGAATCACTGAATACAACCAATACGATCTTTAAAATTTTTCTCAGTTGAGGGGTCCCTGGCTGGCTCCGTTGGAGAAGTGTGGGACTCTTGAGCTCAGGGTCGTGAGTTCGAGCCCCATGTGGGGAGTAGGGATGACTTCAATAGAGTAAAACTTAAAAAAAAATAATAAAACTTACTCAGTTGAATTTTATTTGTTCAACACACCTATATGCAACATTACCATTACTTCAGGAAATTACCTTATGTTCCTTCTCTGTCAATGTCTGTCATTTATCCCCCAGAGCACAACCATAGTTTCTAGTTGATTTTACACTATTGTTTTATCTATTGATTTTACACCAGTGAGTTCCCTGGCCCTCACCTGTATTGCCATCATCTCTACCGTTTAAGCCCATCCCATGCTTTAAAGTTATATAATACTGTTTGTCGACTTCTATGCAATTGTATCACTTCTATTCTATTTTAGAGAAGTAATCCCAAATATGAAAAATACCATACGGAAAAATATATTTATTGTAGTTTTATTTTTGCAATGAAAACATGAGACCTTGAAAGTGTAGCTGTAATGGAATGTCTGAGAGTATTCTGAAGCTCTGGTGACAGAGGCCAACTTGGAAGCTTTATTTATTTATTTTTTAATGCTTAAAAAATTTTTTTTTCTTTAGAGAGAGAGAGAGCACCCATGAGCAGGGGAGAGGGGCAAAGGGAGAGAGAGAAAGAGAGAGAGAGCGAGAGAGAAACTTAAGTAGGCTTCATGCTCAGTGAGGAGCCCTACACAGGGTTCAATCTCATAAACCTTGAGATCATGACCTTAGCTGAAATCAAGAGTCTGATGCTCAACTGACTGAGCAACTCAGTCACCCCCAACCTGGAAGCTTTAGATAGGAAAAACTTAAAATAATGTTTGTAACACAGTTATTTCTGTTTGACTAAGGGTGTAACTTGCATGCACATCTTCAATGTTCCCTCAGTACCCTCATTACTGTATTTTACACATTCTGGGACCACCCCCAGAGAAACCAGTTGCCTAATTCTTTTCTCTGGCCCAAATCTCAGTGTGCTTGCCCTTCACTGGCAGGACTATGATTTCACAAGGCTGCAGATAAAAACATCTGTCCATTTATGAGAGGCAGGGGGAGAGGGATACAGAGGAGCCAGAAAAAGACTTGTCACATGGACTTTGTTTTTGTTTCATTTTTTGTCATGTGCATATTTGAAATAGAATATATGGAAGTAGCCTGACTCTCATACTGTCCCTGTATTATCCTGTTTCCTAGCTCTATGAGGTGAGTTATTCAGTATACTCAGAAAAAAATAAACTTTAGACACAGATACACACACACACACACACACACACACACATAGACACATATACACACACATACACACATGAAACATCCGTACCATTCTTTCCCTCCTTTCCCCTTTCCAAACCTTTAATTCCCTCTTTAAAATGACTGTTGTGAAGCACCTGGGCATTAAGCGACCAACTTTTGATTTCCGCTTGGGTCATGATCTCACAGTTTGTGAGCCCCACATCTGGCTCTGCACTGACTACAGGGGAGCCTACTTGAGATTATCCCTTTCTCTCTCTGCCCCTCCTCCACTCACACTCTCTCTCTCAAAAATAAACATTATAAGTAAATAAATAAACTTAAAAAATAAAGTTAGGTTTAAAGAAATTTAAAAAATAAAATGATATGAAGACAATGTTAACACAGAATGATGCTAGTGACCAATTATCAACATAAAAAAACAGAATAATATTTTTAATGTTTTATTTATTTCTGAGAGAGAGACAGCGTGAGCAGGGGAGGGTCAGAGAGAGAGGGAGACACAATCTGAAACAGGCTCCAGGCTCTGAGCTAGCTGTCAGCACAGAGCCCGAGGCGGGCCTCGAACCCACGAACCGTGAGATCATGACCTGAGCCGAAGTCGGACGCTTAACCGACTGAGCCACCCCAGGCACCTGCAGAATAATTTTTTTTTTATTATTGTACTTAAAATGGTGAAGACAACAATGGTTTGTTTTTTAGGATCTAATTTTTTTTTAATTTCCAAAATGTTCATAATATATGCAATTTTATAGTTAAAATAATTTTAAACACAGGTCTATGAAAATGGAATCGCAGTTTTCAACGACCTTCAGGTCCAGGCTTCATGTGTTTGGAGGTAGATGCAGTGGCTTTTGAAATATCAGGCCTGTTGCCGGGGAGGGAAGAGATGAGCGGGGCCGGAAGGACGGTTCTCGTCGTTATTTCTCTGCAGCGTCTCAGTCCGGTCCCACGACCCAAGTCAAGCAAATGCATTAAACGCCTCGACCTCTCTGATCCATCCCCCAAACGGCGACGGAGGACGCGGTGGGGCAGACAGTGCGCCCAGAGCGCGGCTGCCTGGCTCTCGGTCCCGAGGCCCAGCAGAGCCGCCCAGGCGCCGCCCACGCCCCGCCCACGCCCCGCCCACGCCCCGCCCCGGCGGAGCCAGGCCCCGCCCACCGCCGTCACGTGGTGGGGCGCGGGGTTCAGCCTTCGGCTGATGCCACCGCACCGCATTCGCCATGGAGCTGGCGCTGGGGACCTCAGCCACGGTGCTGCCTCTGCTGTTGCTGCTGGGCCTGAGTACCGGTAGGTTCGGGCAAAAGGTGCATCAGCGGCCGGTCCATCCTTCTCTCTCCAGGGAGGAGAGTCTGTCAGTGGGTTTGTGCTCTTTAGAGCAAATCTCTTTCCCCGTTTCTACCTTCCGTGATCAAGTGCTTTAGGACCTCACTTTTTTTTTTTCTTTTTTTTAAAAATAACATGCTGAGTGCTTTTTTCTACCCCTTTCTGGCGCTGAGTGGTCTGGCGCTTCTGGCTTCCCTCAGCCTAGGGAGCAGCAGTTGTGCTAAATACTTGAGTTGGGGAAACTACTGGTGGGTGAGGTTTCCAAGATCCTAAATCCGCCTCCCTTTTCCTGCCGTGACTGGCTGCTGACTGGGATTTTGGGGACTTCTTCTTTTGAGCTGGAACGTGCGGTCCAAAGGACCCGGAAAAATCCCACCTCGAATGGTACGTTTCATTGAGATCAGACCTTTCTCTAACTTGATCGGGACAGGATAATCTCTCCCTTCACTACAATTCTTTTGAACAAAAACGAATTCGTGTTTAATGGGATGACTTGCAAATTGATTTTCAGTCTTTCAGCAAAATGGTTTATGATCTGAATCAAGATCAGAGAACTCGAACTGGCCACAAACTTGCCTTGTGACCTTAGGCGGATTGCTCAACATTCCTCCTCTTCCCTTGTGTAACTGGGGATCCTCTGGCCCTTCAGCTTGGGTCGGGGAAATGTTGTCAGATAGGTTGGGTCTCGCCCCCCGCCCCCTAAATTTTAGCAGTGCTCACTGCCAGGGAAGGGAGGAGTGCCAGCCATTAAGTCAAAATGGACCCAGGCCGTTTATTTTCCAGAGATTGTGTGATCTAATGTCACTTGTACCTGAAATCTTCCAGCCACGTCCGTGATCTAGCCATTCTATTCTGCTCCTCAAGCCACTTTCTGGTTTTCTTAATCAGTTACAAAACCCCTTCGTCTCCTCATCTACTCCCTTCTCTTCTTTTTGAGATCAGTTTTTGTTCTTTTCCTTGTCATGGGGGCTTGAAATTTAAGAAAAGAGGAAGTAGAAGGCAGGAAATGCCCATCATCCAGGGTGGCTTCTCATCATCTTTGGATTTTAGCTTTTTTTAATTTAATGTTTTATTTATTTCTGAGAGAGAGACAGCGTGAGCAGGGGAGGTTCAGAGAGAGAGGGGGATACAGAATCTGAAGGAGGCTCCAGGTTCTGAGCTAGCTGTCAGCACAGAGCCCGACGCGGGGCTCGAACCCACGAACCATGAGATCATGACCTGAGCTGAAGTCAGACGTTTAACTGACTGAGCCACCCAGGCGCCCCAGCTTTTTCTTTTTCTTTTTTTTTTTTTAACCCACAGAGGGTATTTGAGAAAAACAATGTAACTTGAGAGTTGTTACTCTCAAAGGTCAGCAAAGGTGACATAGAAAATGTACATAACTTACCCTTTTCTGATACATATCTTGCAGATGCTACAAAGATAACTAAGGAAAATTGGAGTGGCCAGAGTGAAGGATGTACATGTATATATATGGCTTTTAATCTGTGCAATATCTTTTGATCTTTGGAAAGCCAAACTACCTTCCCAAAAAGTGATGCCGGGTGCACCATTCCCAACAGTGCTGAGGGCTGGGCTCCTGTCTCCCTGTGGACATTGATCACCTGTTGTCTATCAAATAAGCAAAGAGTTTTTTAGGGACCTCATATCGTTTTAATTTTTGTATCTTCATATTAGTGATGTTAACCCTTTTTTCTCATATTTATCAGACTTTGAATTTCTTTTTCATAAATGATTTCCTCACAGGCTTTACCCATTTACCTATTAGGATCTTGCTTTTTTATTTTCTTTTTAAGTTTATTTATTTTGAAAGAGAGAGCGCCAGAGAGAGCAGGGAAGGGGTAGAGAGAGAGGGAGAGAGGATCCCAAGCAGGCTCCAAGCTGTCAGAATAGAGCCCGACTTGGGGCTCAAACCCACTGAGATCTGAGCCAAAATCAAGTGTCAGATGCTTAACCAACTGAGCTACTCAGGCACCCCAGGATCTTCCTTTTTTAAATTGATCTACACAAGTAAGGACAATTGCTGATTTTCATATTTGTCACAGCTCTTTCTTTGTTGTCTGCCTTTTAATTTTTGATGTACATAAATTTTATTGTACAGAAAATGTAACAAGTTTCTGTCCTCAACTCTGTTGATATTTTTCTTTATGGTCTCTGGGTCATGCTTACATCATTTCCCCATCCAGAGATCAGAAAAACATTCAATTATATTTTCATATTATTTTTAATATCTAAATTTTAAAATTGAAATACTTTATCCACTTGAAATTGATTTTGGCATATAGTGTTATGCAAGGACCTACATTTTTGGGGGCACCTGGGGGGCTCAGTCAGTTAAGAGTCTGACTGTTGGTTTTGGCTCAGGTCAGGATCTCGCAGTTCTTGAGTTTGAGCCCCACGCCTGGCTCTGCATGGACAGGGCGCTGAACCTGCTTGGGATTTTCTCTCCCTCTCTCTGCCCCTCCCCAGCTTGCTCTCTCTCTCTCTCTTTTTGTCTCTCAAAAAGTAACAAAAGTAAACATAAAAAAAGTTTTAATAGGACTTACAATTTTTTCCCTTCACAAAAGCTAACAGTTGCCCCAACACAAGTGAATATTAGTCCCTCTGATTTGGGCTACCTCTTCAATAATATACTAAATGAGATAGAAAAACCAGCATTTTGCATTCTGAGATTTTTCCTTTTTCGCCTCAAAATGTAAATCTGTCTTGCTTTTCAAAACAGAATTGTAGGAGTGCCTGGGAAGCTCCGTTGGTTAAGTGTCTGACTTTGGCTCAGGTAATGATCTCAAGGTTTGTGCGTTCAAGCCCCACATTGGGCTCTCTGCTATCAGTGTGGAGCCAGCTTGGGATTGTCTGTCTCTCTGTCTCTGTCTCTGTCTCTCTCTCTGTCCCTACCCCACTTACATTCTCTCTCTATCTCAAAATAAATAAAGTTTTAAAAAACCACCAGAACTGTAAACATGTTTCATGCTTCCTGTTAAAAATTCAAATAGTACACAAAGTGCAGAGGAAAAAGTGAAAGCCTCCACCCTCCTGTGCCACACTATTAAGTTTGATTTGTTTTTTCACAACTGAAGTGTCTTTTCCTTATCTCCACAGTACATTAATGTGAGTACATCGCTTAAAATACGAACCACATTATCTCTGGCTTAGCACGGCCATCTCTACAGCCTTGGAATTTACCTGCGTGGTTGGCACTCTTCAAGAATTCATGTTGTGCTTCTGTTTCAGGAACAGTCATTGACTGGCCTGCAGAGGAGGGAAAGGAAGTATGGGATTATGTGACTGTCCGAAAGGATGCTCACATGTTCTGGTGGCTCTATTATGCCATGAACCCCTGCAAGAACTTCTCGGAGCTGCCCCTGGTCATGTGGCTTCAGGTAAAAGTGGCCTGGCTGGCTGGCCAGGTTTTCCCCACTTACCACTTTGCTTGCTCATAAAGGCTCACCGCTCAGAAGGGGCAGTAGTGATCTGGGGGGGCTCCTAGGCTGAGGGGTTTGGTGTCCTGAGGCAGGCAAAGACAATTGTATACTAAGGAGGCCAAATCAGAGAGCGAGGGCTGCTAGCCTTTGCAGAGGTCTTTTTATAGTAAGCCCAGTCAAGGGGCACCTGGGTGGCTCAGTCAGTTGAGCGTCCGACTTCGGCTCAGGTCGTGATCTCATGGTTTGGTGAGTTCGAGTCCCAAATCCGGCTCCGTGCTGACAGCTAGGAGCCTGGAGTCAGTTTTGGGCTCTGTGTCTGCCTTTCCCCTGCTCATGCTCTGTCTCTCTCTCTCTCTCTCCAAAATAAGTAAACATTATATTGAGCCCAGTCAGTGGCAGGATGCCTCTGTGGCGGCTCCTGAAGGCACACGTGACTATATGCTGACAAAGAGTCCTGAGCAGCCCTCCCTCTCTCTCTCTTCTCCCAGTCCTTCCTAGACCTCAACTCCTTGCCCCCAGAAAAGCCCCCTTTGGAAGGACTCAGCCTTGTTTTTGTATCTTAAATGGTGGGTCCTATCCTTCTCCTTGGGTTTTAATCTGGAGCTCTGTCTATAGGATGGAAGGCTGGGAACTGGTTGAAGGCAGTTTTACGGGGCAGGCAGAGGAACCTCTGATGCAGTCCTAAAATACCTGCCCAGAGGTGGCCCACACCCACCTGGACCAGTCTCTGGGGCGGGGCTTGAGGAACAGGGTCTTGCTTCAGCCTCTGGAAACCTGCGGTCTGGCCCAGATTGGGCTCCAGGTTGCTCACCGGTAAGTGGGGTGTCCGGTCCTCATCTTTATGGGATTATGGGATGCATGTGTCACTTCCTCCCCAAATGCCAGTATTCACGGGGTACTGCCAGTGCCTTTGAGCTGGAGGTGAGACCCAGGCTGAGATAAAAGTGTCTGAGAAGATCCTGTGGGTGTACCCAGTGCACTGCTGTCCGCCCAAGGCTGCCATGGGTGAAGATGCAGCAGGGCTCTGTTTTCTGGGCTTTGGGTATTTTATTTTTAATTAAAAATTTTTTTAATGTTTATTTATTTTTGTGAGAGAGACAGCACGAGTAGGGGAGGGGCAGAGAGAGAGTGAGATGCAGAATCCAAAGCAGGCTCCAGGCCTGAGCTGTCAGCACAGAGACTGACGCCGGTCTCGAACTCACCAAGTGTGAGATCATGACCTGAGCTGAAGTCATACATTGAACCGACTGAGCCACCCAGGAGCCCCTGGGCTTTGGTTTCTAATCTGAGGGATTTTACGGTTTTTCAACTTTTTCCTAATCCACAAGATTTTTCCCTCCCTTAAGTGAAAGCTTCTACACAGCTGAGCAGAGCCCCGAAAGCAGAAGGGCTGGAGGGCCGGCCAGATCCCACCCAGGCTGCATTCCCTCCCTCATGTGCTGCCCCTCAGGCACTTTCTGGGCTCTCTGGAATTTAAAAACCATCGAATTTCAGAAGTAGCAAAACCTTTCTTTTGTTTTATCTGGATTGGTTGCCAACATTTTAAATTCAAGACATTTCTTTCTTTTTTCTTTTTTTTTAAATTTTTTATTTATTTCTGAGAGAGAGAGGGAGACAGCATGAGCAGGGGAGGGTCAGAGAGAGAGACACAGAATCTGAAACAGGCTCCGGGCTCTGAGCTGTCAGCACAGAGCCCGACGTGGGGCTCAACTCACAAACTGTGAGATCATGACCTGAGCCGAAGTTGGACGCTTAACCGACTAAGCCACCCAGGCGCCCCATTTCTTTCCTTTTTCTAAAATTCTAGAGACTTGGCAACCTGGGGCCTGAATTTGCTATCCTAAAGCTGAGTTTCAGATAGGACAGGAGCTTCTGGAAGAGGGGATCCCTCTTTCCTCGCCTGTTCTCTTCTCCACGCATACACTTCTCTGCCCCTGGAGGCTGCCTACTTTGTGACCTTGGGTTAGGTTAACCCTCTGAGCTGAGATACCATTTGAAGGTTGTCAGCTGGCTAACGAACCAACCTGTCCTTCATTTCCTCAGAGGCACACAGGAGAAGGAAAAAGACTGATGAGGGAAGAGACGATTAATTTAGATTAAAAGGAGATCTACTCTAGCAGCCTCCTGAGTATGAGTTCTCTGGACAGGTCTTTGAGAATGGAGGTCTGAGTGAGGTAACTCTAGAGTAGTGAACCGTTTCAGGTACACTTTCTTCTTTTTTTCTTTTTTCTAAAAAAATTTTTTGAGAGGTTGTGCAAAACTATTGTGTTGACAGAAATGGCACAGTGAATTCAGCGGTCAAGGCGCATGCTCGCTGCATTCCCGTCTTCAATGAAACATTCTCTAACATTGTAGAACTAAGAATACTAGCTTAAGGGGCAGCTGTTAAGCACTAGAGTCACATAAGACTGGGCAAGTATTGCCCAAGTGAAATTCTGTTGTTAGGGGCACCTGGGTGGCTCAGTCGACTGAGCTTCTGACTTCAGCTCAGGTCATAATCTCGTGGTTTGTGGGTTCGAGCCCCACATCGGGCTTTATGCTGACAGCCAGCTCAGAGCCTGGAGCCTGTTTCAGTTCTGTGTTTCCCTCTCTCTCTGACCCTCCCCTGCTCACACCGTCTCTCTCTCTCTCAGAAATAAATAAACATTAAGAGTTTTTAAAAAATTCTCTTGTTAAAACTGAAACAGGTTTAAGGCCATTCAAGTTCAAACACAGTGATACAAATCTTTCAGAGCCCCATCTATTTTTGTTTGAAGAATGTGACCTTTCTTCCAATGTGTGGTCTTAAACTTCTGTTTTACAAAATCCAAAAGGAAAATACAGAATAAATCAATACAGTAGAGGTTATATTAAATAAGAGTAACATACAAAGCTATAATTGAGATGAGTTAAAGAAAACCAAAGCATTACAATCATAAAACTTGTTTGTTACTTGTTGAACCAGTCCTACACGAGGAGTTAGGTAATATATACGATTATCTTCAAGTTGATTACTTTATGTCGCTCTAACATGTTCTCTTTATCTGCAGACTGTTGAACTATAAAAAAAGCTCTACACATGTATATTCCCTTACAATAACAGCATGCACTACCGCTACCTGAAAAGCTGTCATTCTCTTCTTTTTTTAATTTAAAAAATTTTTGATATAGAGAGAGACAGACCATGAGTAGGGGAGGGGCAGAGAGAGAGGGAGACACAGAATCTGAAGCAGGCTCCAGGCTCCGAGCTGTCAGTGCAGAGCCTGATGCGGGGCTTGAACCCATGAACCGTGAGATCATGACCTGAGCCAAAGTCAGACGCTTAACTGACTGAGCCACCCAGGTGCCCCAAAGCTGTCATTCTCAAATGACTTAGTGAAAGAAAGGAAAAAGCAGACAAAGTAACACATTAAGGAGAAATAATGGGAATGGGAGGATTCATGCAGTTCAGCTCTGTTCATCATCCAGCAGCTTGCTAGCAGCGGGGGGTGGTTCCCATTGGGGAAAGTCCTGTGGACTGGGACTGTGCTCACCAGTGACCTCTGTCTTACCCGGAGCCGCCCTGGGAAGCTGCTTGTGCTTCATGTTTGCTTCAGCCAGGTGTATCCCCCCAGACTCAAAGTATTTTTGCCCTTTCTGCAGTCGTTTCCTAAAGAAATCTGAACCTCCAGGCTTTTGTCCTGAATGAGGATACCTTGGTTTTAATTTTGATTCTTCCACTTTCGCTGGAGTAGTCACTTCATCTTCCATTTCCTTCTGCTCCTTAGCAGAGGTTGCCTCGGGCACTTCCATGGACATAGTGCTCCCTCTTACCCCGCTTCTCTCCCCCAATTTTTTTAATGTTTATTTATTTTTGAGAGAGCGAGAGAGAGAGAGAACATGAGTGTGGGAGGGGCAGAGAGAGAAGGAGACACAGAATCCGAAACAGTGTCCAGGCTCTGAGCTGTCAGCAAAGATCCTGACGTGGGGTTTGAACACACAAACCATGAAATCCTGACTTGAGCTGAAGTCAGACTTAACTGACTGAGTCACCCAGGTGCCCCTTAGGTACACTTTTAAGCCATTTAAGCATTTCCGTTGGTCTGCCGACACATTTCCCATACTTCAGAGTCACTGCATAGTCCTGGACCATGGCCAGCACCCCAACCCAAAGTTCTAAAGAAAAAAGGATTTTGCAGTAGCATGTTCTCAAATAGCATAGAAAACCTCCAGCCTGTTTGTCATTGCCATGGGGGTGGGGTAGGGAGGTGCCCTCTCCTGCTGCCACCCACAGCCTATCAAAAGCAGGACCGGAAATTGGGATTTGTCCCACAAAAGCCAAGCCCCTGGAATTCCCAGCTTCCCACCTTTCTCTTTGGTCCTGTCCTGTCTCCCAGTCTGTCTACTCGGAGAACGGGACCCAGCACTCACCCGATTGTACACACTTGCTCTTAATTTATTGCACGTTGCATTATAAGCGTTTTTCAAAGTTGTCACATAGTTTTTCTATAGTTTGTGATTCTATATGGCCGTTTCACATTCCATCCTGTGGACATGTTGTAACTTACTCACCTGTTCCCCCAGCGAGGGACACCGAAGGTGCATTCTTCCGCAGTTATAAATAACCTTGTGCTGAGTAGGCCCAGCCCGGCCCGGCCCTGGTCCGTGAGCTTTTTGCCACGGTAGTAGGAAAGCTTAAGAGACCGAGTGCATATACTTAGAGGGATTTGTAGCCTCCTGGTTTTACAATAGTGTGGTCTAGTTTCAAAACATTACATAGTTTCTTACAGTCTTTCTCTGTTGGGGTCCCCTGGTTACCCCTGACCCTATGTTGTCTTTTTTTTTTTCCTTAGATTCCCTATACAGATAACCCTGGTTTCTGTTTCTCCAAGGCTTTCCTTTCATCTCTCTGCACCTCCCTTTTCTGTCCATCTTGCTCGTGCACAGGGAGTCAGTATCCTTTTATCCGAGGCCCTACACATTTCCCCTTGGCTCAGCTGGTTCCCGAGACTTTGTCCTGAAAAGCACTGACCGTGCTTTTCCCTGACCATCTCCTGAAGGGGCTCCTCCCCTCGCTTTGCCCTTCACAGCTCATAGGGCCTTTGCCTGTCGTGGCTGGGCCCCAGCACTGAGCTCCGTTCACAGTCCTGCCTCCGCCCTTGACCCTGGATGCACACAGTATTGAGTCCTTCCTGCCCTAGGACTTCTACATTTGCTAAATTATATCCCAGGGCTCCATGTGATCAAACTGCCCCCTCGGTCTGTGTCCCTTATCAGTCTGCAGGGACAGAAGAGAGGGTGGTGGGGTGAAGAGTCACAGGGCCCCACTTCCAGGCCTGGAAGACCCCTAATGTCATGTCCCTTCCCTGGGCCTTACTGTTCATCTTGGAAATGAGAGGGGTTGGACAAGGTGTTTTGAAGGTCAGTGAGCCCCACGTGAGGTCAGGGTTCAGTCTCAGAGGATCAGAAGTAGGAAAGTTCCTTCTGGGGCTCCGAAGCCAGGTCTTTTCCATTTATTTATTCATTTTTAAGCAATCTCTTTACACCCAAGACGGGGCTTGAATTCACAACCCGGAGGTCAAGAGTCACATGCTCTGCTCACTGAGCCAGACAGGCGCCCCTGGGTCTTTTCCCTTTAGAAAGACTTCACCAGTTTCGAGGGGCTCAGTGGGTACGGACACCCCTGGTTCACCGGGTCAGTCGTGTCTTTTGTAGGACCTTGACCCGGCCATCACGAAATCATAAATCGTTTCGAGTGAATGTGGTCATTATTATCATGACAACGATTTGACTAATGCTTTCTCTGGGCGTATTTTGTTGTTCATTTTCTCTTCCACAGGGCGGTCCCGGCGGTTCCAGCACTGGATTTGGAAACTTTGAGGAAATCGGGCCCCTTGATAGTGATCTGAAGCCGAGAAGAACTACCTGGGTACGGTGAGCACAGCCCCTAACTGAAACTGCCCTGTGGCCTCTCCAAGGCTGAGCCCCCCCAAACCCCTGCCCTACCCCATTCTGGGTGGGGTCACAGATGATGCAGCCCCACGCCTTCCTCTTCCCCAGGGTCCTGGGCCTTGTGTGCTTGTCCATAGGCTTCCTCTCCAGCCAGCCTCTTCCAAAAGCCTATTTCAGCAGACACCCTGACCTTGCATTTCCTGCCTATTGGCCGCCTCTGCAGTCCAACTGCAGGGTCCCATCCTCTGGCCACAGCGTCCAATCCTGTCCCCTCTGCCTTCTCCTACCCTGCTTCTTGACTCCATCAAGACTTCAGAGCTTGTGTCCTCTGCCCTTTTGGTGTCTCTCTTGTTCTGTTTTCACCCCCCCCCCTTGTTCTTAATTTCACATCCTGCCTTAACCCCACTCTGCTCATCCCCTGGCTCCTTCATCCTTCTCCAGGGACAGCTTAGCCACCCCCAGGCTTGGGTCAGTCGCACTGCGCACCTGTTTGGCCCCTGCTCCCAGGAGCCAGACACCGGTGGGCAAAACCACAACCCGGCTGTGGGCTTCGCCTGGGCTTGTGGCCTCTCTCTGCTGTGTGCTGCTGCTCAGCTCCCTCCCTCTCTGACCTGTGTCCTGGCCTCACCGAGAAGACAGAGCCATCGCCTATTTGGCTGTCCCTGGTCCTTACAACCCCTCGGTGTCCCTTACTACCCTCCTGGCCATCTCAACACAACACACAGCTCGTCTCTGCTGAGGTCCCCTCTCAAAGATTCCGCTTGGACAGTTAGCTCCTGTCTGCATCCTTATGCCGTCTTTAGGCTCTCTGTTCCCTGGGGTGCAGGCGTGCACGGGTCTTTCCCAACCTATTACTAAGCCCCTCCAACTACCACTCTTTCTTCAAAGAATTCTTAATACAGGCATACCTTGGAGACATTGTGGGTTCGGTTCCAGACTATTACAGTAAAGCGGGTCAAATGAATTTCTCGATTTCCGAGAGCATAGAATAGTAATGCTTACACCATGTTATGGTCTATTACATGTAAAACAATGTATGTGCTTTAATTTAAAAATAGCTTATTGCTAAAATACGCTAACCATCATCTGAGCTCTCCATGAGTTGTAATCACTGGTTACAGAGCACAATATAACAAGTGCAATAATAATGAAACAGTTTGAAATATGGCAAGAATTACCAAAATGTGACACAGAGACACGAAGCGAGCAGACGCTGTTGGGAAAATGGTGCCTGGAGACTTGCTCAATATGGGGTTGTCCACAAACCTTTAATTTGTTTTTTAAAAAATGCAGTAAAGTAAGGTGTGCCTGTATTTACTGCTGTCTAGTCTTTACCTCCTAATTTTTTTAAACATCAGAGTTAAAAAATTATTTTTGACATTTATTTATTTTTGAGAGACAGATAGAGACAGAGCATGAGTGAGGGAGGGGCAGAGAGAGAGAGATACACAGAATCTGAAGCAGGCTCCAGGCTCTCAGCTGTCAGCACAGAGCCCAGACGCAGGGCTCAAACCCATAAACTGTGAGATCATGACCTGAGCTGATGGAGGAGGCTTAACCAACTGAGCCACCCAGGTGCCTACCTCCTATTTTTTTTTTAATTTTAATGTTTATTTATTTTTGAGAGAGAGAGAGGGAGACAGAGCAGGAGCGGGGGAGGAGCAGAGAGAGAAGGAGACCCAGAATCTGAAAAAGGCTCCAGGCTCCAAGCTGTCAGCACAGAGCCCAATACGGGCCTCGAACCTACTGACTGAGAGATCATGACCTGAGCTGAAGTTGGATGTTTAACCGACTGAGCCACCCAGGCACCCCTGGTCTTTACCTCCTGTTGAAGCCTTAGCCCAGAGCTTTCTAACCTGGGGCCTGGGGGCTGGGGGCAGGAGAGAGTGTGTACTAGGGAACCCAGTGCGCATTAGCTCTAAGATGCAGTACACATACCTCCTCCATGGCCGTGACAGGGTTGGGAAGCACTACCCTAACCCACTGTAGTCTGTCCCCAGAGCTCTGCTGGAGCTGTGGTCCCCGAGGTCATGCTGGCTTCCCAACTCCAAGTCCATTAGATCCTTCATGGGATTCTTTTCGTTGTGCTTCTTTGCCAAGCTTTTGGCCACGTCCGTGTCTTCTGGTGTTGGTGCTCCCTGTACTCTGTCCTAGGCAACATTCTCTTCTATGTGTTCTTGGGGCAGCCTTGTCCTTTCAAGCTGCTTTAGTGACACCTAGAAGGTGACGCGCCACAAGTCAGTATCTCTCGCTCAGAACTTTGTGCTCCAGAACCGTTTTTCCATCTGCCTCTGAGATGCCTCCTTGCGGGCGTCCCTCATACATCCCCTGTGCGACATATCCCAGGCTGTTTTCCTTATTACACAAGACCCTCTGTCCACGCACAAAACCAGCCAACTCTCCTGGGTCCCTTGTGGTAAATGGTACCACCATCCAATCAGGTGCCTGAGCCAGAGGCCGGAGAGCCGCCTCGTCTTCCCCTGCTCCTCCCTCTCCTGCCCTCCCCCTTATCCGATCAGTTTTTCCTAAAAAAGAATTTTTAAAGTACCGCTTTATTGAAATATAATTCACATACCATACAATTCACCCGTTTAAAGTATACAACTCAGTGGCATTTAGCATAGTCAGAGTTTCACAACCATCACCCCCATCAGTTTCAGACCATTTTCATTATTACCCCCCTCCCCCCCATCCCAGGAAACCTTGCACCCCTTGGCAGTCAACTTTGTAGACTCGGCTCTGTTGGCCATTTTGTAACAACGGAGTCACACAGAATGTGGCCTCGGGTGTGTGGCTTCTTTCACTTAGACGTTTTCAAGGTTCATGCATGTAGTATGTACCACCACTCCCCTTTTTGAAGGCTGAATACTATTCCATTGTATGGATATGCCACGTTCTGTTGATGGACGCTTGGGTGGTTTCCACCTGTGAGCTGCTGCGAATAGTGCAGGGAACACTGGCGTACAAGCATTTGACTTGAGTTCCTAGTCTCCGTTTCCGAGTGGAATTGCTGGGTCATATACTCTGTGTTGAATACCCAGGTGCCATTAATATTCTTCATCCCTTTTCCATCCTCTCTAATGGCTTTCAGAGTGCATCTCCAATGCCAATCACTCCTTAGTTTAGTATCTTTCAGTTTGCAGAAGATCAGATCCAGATTCCTGGGCGTGACCCAGTCTCTGCCCACCCCCTGACACATCTCCCAACATCTGCCCACGTACACTGTATCTTCAGGCCCTGGCCTGGGCAGTTTCTTGGCTCGGACTTTGTTCCTTTGGCCACTCATTCACACCTAGCTTACCGTACTCACACCTACCATTCAAGACTCCGTGCGGGATCACCTGTTCCTTCAGGGCCCCTCTGAATCCTTTGATTCTCTTTGTCTGTCTCCCCTGCTGGTCTTCCTTCAGTGCATTTTGCTTTTGCCCCAGGGTCTTTGCACATGCTGTTCCCTCAGCCTGGATCATTCCTGAACTTGTTTCTGACTGAAATATCACTTCCACTTGGTTTGTCCCCAAGCTTCCCGGAGCTAGAAGGGTAGTACGGCTCAGGCAGAGAGCCCGAATGAGAAGTGAGGAGACTCGGGCCTCAGTGCTGATGCTGCCACCTCCTGCCCAACTTTGTGACCGTGGACAAGTCCTGGGCCTTTTCTTGGCTTTAATTCCCTAATCAGTAAAGGACCTGGCTGGACTGTGCCATCACAGAAGATACTTCAGATGGGAGATTCTATAACCCTGAGCCTCTTTGGAAGAGGCATTAGGATAAATTCCATACTTGTAGTGTACCGGGAGATGAGGCCAGTGTGGAAATGGGACTCGTCTTCAAGAAAACTGATATGTGGTATTCAGACCTTGGATGTACTGTCACCACATCCAGCTGTTGCTCAGGCTGACACTGCATGGTTCTACCCGAGCTAACGTGATTATACTTAGGACAGTGTTGTGTGAAAACTGACAGCTTCGGGGCACCTGGATGGCTCAGTCGGTTGAGTGGCTAACTTCGACTCAGGTCGTGATCTCGTGGTTCGTGAGTTCGAGCCCCGCATCGGGCTCTGTACTGCCAGCTAGCTCAGAGCTTGGAGCCTGCTTCAGATTCTGTGTCTCCCTCTCTCTCTTGGCCCCTCCCCTGCTCACACTCTCTCTCTGTCTTCAAAAATAAATAAACATTAAAAAAATTTTAAAAAGAAAAAATGGACAGCTTATGTGTTTTGATCCCCATGTTTGCTAACCTTTCCTTCTTGCCTCTCCTTTTCTTTGTCTTAGTAGCCTATGTTTATAATTTTTTGAAATCCCTTTTAGCAGTAGGCTTGTAAACACAGTGATATCCTCACACGTGTGGGTTTTGTTGAGCTCATAGAAGGCAGTGGAAAGACGGTTGGTGACTGACTGAGTGATTGTGCCACTTGACTTTCCTGTGTGACGTGTAGCTCCAGTCGGCCAGTCTCCTATTTGTGGATAACCCTGTGGGCACTGGGTTCAGTTACGTGAACAAGAGTGATGCGTATGCCAGAGACCTCGACATGGTGGCGTCAGACATGCTGGTTCTCCTAAAGACCTTCTTCGATTGCCACAAAGAATTCCAGGTACGCAGTAACTCAGGGACAGCTAAGCAAGGGGCTCGCAGTCACACTCTTACATGCATCCTAATAAACTTAGATTTCCCCAAGAGTTCCATGTCCAGCCATTATCAGAGAAAACCTTTCTGCACCTGAGATCAGGTGTGGCCCTCTGTTTCTATCCTCTCTATAAAGGTGATTTTGAGCTTGAAAGAATGACCTTGGAGCCTGGTACTCTAACCAGATGGTGGGGAGGCAGGGTTGGAGGTGGGGTTAGGGTGAGGGTAAGGCAATATAAAAGCAGATTCGTTTTGTCTGGCGTTTACATGCAATATAAATTTGAAATTAATTCATATGGGAAAAAAGGCATTTGGGACATTTAATTCTGTGTAAATTCCTTTTCTTGCTAGACGGTTCCATTCTACATTTTCTCAGAGTCCTACGGAGGAAAAATGGCTGCTGGCATTGGTCTAGAACTTCATAAGGTAAACAGAAAGATGACTTTGTTGTTTTGGTTTCAGACAAACTGATTCTGTTCCTTTTTATATCATGTGGTATTAAATATAGTATGAATAGCACCTTGTGGTACCTTGTACGTGAGGAGTAAGGTGAAGTCTCTAATAATAACCATGAAAAGTTTCAAAGGGAACAGTGAAGGTTGCCTACTGGATATGAAACCAGTTATAAGGAAGCTGTAGCGAGTAAAACAATGTGGTACTAGCTTGGCAGCAGACTTGAATGCAGCAGGACAAAGAACCCAGAAACAAATTTAAATACACTTCTGTGTGTAAATGAGAGGTATGTGTCATGGATATGATCATGTGGCATTATCATATCAAGTGATAACATGGCATTTCATATCACTGAGCCGCAAACAATATTCAGCAAATGGTACAGAAATGAATGTATCTCACTTTGAAAAACAGTAACATTGAGTTCCTTCCATAAAACATCAATTGTAGATAGAATAAAAGTCAGAATATAAAAAGATCTAGAGGCACCTGGGTGGCTCAGTCAGGTAACCCATCTAGCTCTTAATTTAGGCTCAGATCTGTGAGCTTGTGGTTCATGGGATCGAGCCCCATTTCAGGCTCTGCACTAATAGTGTGGAGCCTGCTTGGGATTCTCTCTCTCCCTCTCTCTCTCTCTCTCCCTCTCTCTCTCTCTCTCTCCCTCCCTCTCTCTCTCTCTCCCTCTCCTTCTCCCTTTCCCTCCCTTCCTCTCCCTTCCTCCCTCTCTCCCTCCCTCTCTCTCCTTCTGCCCTTTTTCCCTGTGCACACTCTCTCTCTCTGTCTCTAAAAAACAAAACAAAACAAAACAAAACAAAAGATCTATCTATCTCTATGTATAAATATAACAGAAAAGGCATTCTTATTGATAATCTGTAAAAAAGACTATATCCTAAGAAAGACATCTCCTTCACAAATTGGCAAACAATGCAAACAAGCAGTTTATAGAAGAAATGCAAACAGCCTGTGAACATGTGGAAAATGCTTAACTTTTATTAGAAGCCAAATCTATGGGATTTACAAATATTTAAAAGATTGGTGATACCCAGTTTTGGTTAAGAAATCAGGGAAATGAGGGGCACCTGGGTGGCTCAGTTGGTTAAGGGTCCGACTTCGGCTCAGGTCAGATCTCATGGTTCGTGGGTTCAAGCCCTGCATCAGGCTCTATGCTGACAGCTCAGAGACTGGAGTCTGTTTCGGATTCTGTGTCTCCCTCTCTCTCTGCCCCTCCCCCACTCATGTTCTGTCTCAAAAATAAATAAACTATAAGAAAAAATTTTTTAAAAATCAAGGAAATGAATAAAACATTTTAAAATGGTAATCATTTTATTTTATTACAAAAACTTTTTTCTAGTGTTTATTTTTGAGGGGGGAAGGCCAGAGAGAGAGGGAGATGTAGAATCCGAAGCGGCCTCCAGGCTCTGAGCTGTCAGCACAGAGCCTGACTTGGGGCTGGAACCCATGAACCATGAGATCGTGACCTGAGCCGAAGTCGGATGCTCAACTGACTACGCTACCCAGGGACCCCTAAAATGGTAAATCATTTTAAAAGGGCAATTTGGCAGTATCTGTCAACTTTTAAAATCTATATGCCCTTTGACCCAGTAATTTCAGTTCCAGGAATCTGTCCTGTGGGAATTCTTAGACGTGTGTGTGTCAAGGATGTTTAATACACTATTGCTTACAATCAATTGAAAACAAAGTCAGTGGCTATCTGTAGAGGATTACTTAAATAAAATAGATATTTCTTTCCATGATGGACCACTTTGCAACTGTCATAAAGATTGGATGCATCTCTGTATACATGTATGTGTGTGTGTGTGTGTGTGTGTGTGTAAGTAAGTTTGTGACAGCAAAAAAAGGGGTTAGAAGGGTATGTAACATCTTAACTGTGGTGCACTGGTGGGTGGAGTGGGTGCACATGGGACAGAGGACAAAGTTTTTCCACATTTTCTCCTGTCCCCTGTGGTGTTTAAGTTTGTTTACAGTGAGCTTGTATGAGCTTCACTTTTTAAAAACTGTTTCTTTATTTTTGAGAGAGGGAGCACGTGTGCCAATGGGTGAGGGGCAGAGAGAGACGGAGACAGAGGATCTGAAGCAGGCTCTGTGCTGAGATCAGAGAGCCCTATGCAGGGCTCGAACTCTCGAACCATGAGATCACGACCTGAGCCAAAGTCAGATGCCCAAGTGAATGAGCCACCTGGGTGCCCCTGAGCTTCACTTATCTAAGATTTATGAATTCTCTTAAAAAATGAACCTTTCATAAGTAATAGTATATGTACATAACAGGGAATTAGAAAATAAAAATTAAAATGTCACCTTCCCACTAGATGGAGAGCGCCATTAACACCTTAACGGATAGCCTTTAAATCGTTTTCTGCTCTGAGGTCATCTCAGATGTAATGTCTATAGCCTGCTTTCTTCAGTCATTGGTCTTCACCTTCCCATTTCAGTACATTTTCATCTCAAATATTCAGACCTCTTTTTTTTATGTCTTTATTTTATTTTGAGAGAGACAGAGAGAGTGAGTGGGGGAGGGGCAGAGAGAGAGGGAGACAGAATCTGAAGCAGGCTCCAGGCTCTGAGCTGTCAGCAGAGAGCCTGAGGCGGGGCTCAAACCCACAGACTATGAGATCATGACCTGAGCTGAAGTCGGATGCTTAACCAACTAAGCTACTCAGGTACCCCTATTCAGACCTCTTTAATGATCCCAATGCATCCTTGATAGCTGGTTAGCCTAAGCCATTATTCAGTCCAGACCCAGAAATTACACCTGGCCACGATGTCCCTAAAGTCTGTGTTCATCTGGCACAGTCCCTTTTTTATGACTTCTGATTTGGTAAAGAAACCAGTCTACCTGACTTGTAGAATGTCTCCTTTTCTGGATTTGTCTGGTAACATTTCATTTCTCTTTTTACTGTATTTCCTACAAAACTGTAAGTTATATCTAAAGGTCTAATATATTCAAGGTAAAAGTTTGGATAGTATGTATTATAATAGGTAGGGTTTTGGGAAACTATTGCCCATAGGTCAAATCTCACCACCTATTTTTTTTTTTAACTTATATTTTAATTTTAATTTTTGAGAGAGAGAGAGAGCATGAGCAGGGGAGGCGCAGAGAGAGAGCGGGACAGAAGATCTGAAGCAGGTTCTGTGCTGACAGCAGTGAGCCCGTGTGCAGGGCTCGAACTCATAAACCAAGAGATCATGACCTGAGCCAAAGTCGGACACTTAACCGACTGAGCCACCCATGTGCCGCCACTGCCTGATTTTACATGACCTGTGAGCTAAGAAGGGCTTTTACATTTTCAAGTGCTAGTGGTGCGGGAAGGAGTTTAAAAGCAGAGTAGTATTTCATGCCGTGTGAAAATTACATGAAACTCAAAATTTCAGCGTCTACAAATAAAGTTTTATTAGAACTGTTCCTTTGTTTACATATTGCCCGTTGCTGCTCTAGTGATACAGTGGTAGAACTGAGTATTTGCAACATGGGCTGTTTGGTCTACAAACCCTATAATATTTCAAATTCTGACCCTTTATAGAAAAAATTGCCAACCTCTGATATACGTGATGTGCACTTCATTTTTAAAAACTGTTTTATTTATTTAGGAGACATAGTGTGAGTGGATGAGGGGCAGAGGGAGAGGGAGAGAGAAAATCTTAATTAAGCAGGCTCCATGCTCAGCACAGAGCCCCATGCAGGGTTCAGTCTCACAACCCTGGGATCATGAGCTGAGTCAAAATTAAGAGTTGGGCGCTTAACCAGCTGAGCCACCCTAACGCCCCTGTGCACTTCATTTTGCTTCAAATCAGAAAGGACATAATATCTAGATCTAGTCTGATTTTTCCACTGGACTCTTTCACCCTGCCCCTGCGCAGAAAGTTACCTGAGTGGTGTTATCTTCACACTAGATGGATGTCCCCATTCTTCATTCATCTTTCACCTAATGGTTTTAACATCAATTTTTGATTCTCACGTGAGTCAATTATGTCATTAGGAGTTACAAAATGATGGTTTCCCCCTCCTGTCTTTTTGTTCACATCCATTAGCTGGGATTCTTCTATAAACTGGAACTTTCCCCCATCATCTGGGCTATTTAGGTAACCTATGAAATAAACTCCTTGTGGAAAACCCAGATAAATGCATAATTCTGTCTCTATAATTACTAACGTTCAGAGCCAAGATGGTCACTGTGTTCTTATTTTAGATCTCTGAATAGTTTGTGCATATGCACATAATTCAAAATTCAAAATAGGTAAAAGGTATGCTGTAAAAACTCTCACCCTTGCCTCCCCCTCTCCTCTATGGCAGCCTCTGTTGTTAGCCTGCTGTAGCTTTCCAGAGGTATTCCATGCCTGTGTTAGCTAATTCATGTACAGTTAACCCCTGGACAACATGGTGGTCAGGAGCCATCACCTCCTGCTCATTTGAAAATCCCCATGCAATTTTATTTATGTATTTATTTATCACATGCAACTTTTTTTAAACAAAAAAAAAAAGGTGGTTTTTTTGGTCTGAGGCATTGTTACATTAGCTTCAGATGTGCAATATAGTGATTCAGTTTCTCTGTATAAGTAAGTCAGGCGACAGAAAATCCACATATGACTTTGGCTTTCCCAAAACTTAACTGCCAATAGCCTGCTGTTGACCAGAAGCCTGACTGAGAACCTCAACAGTTGATTCCTGTCGTTTGTATGTTACATGTATCCTATACTATATTCTTAGAGTAAAGTAAGCTGGAAAAGAAAACGCTAGTAAGCAAATGATAAGGAAGAGAAAATACATTTACAGTACTGTGTTGTATTTGTTGGGAAAAACCCGCATATGAGTGGACCTGTGCAGTTCAAACCTGTGCTCAAGGGTCCACTGAATGTTCTTTTTTTCTCATTTTTGTGCAAATGACAGTATAGCCCTGAGGCATCCATCCCACCCGCAAGGTTCTCCTGAGGAGGCCCCCCACCCCTGCAGTGACTGCCCTATGGTCAGTGACCGTTGTACCCAAGGTCCCCCCACCCCCACCCCAGCACCTTGTGAGGCATCACAGACCTCGGGGGAAAGGGTGCTAGTGACCCTTCCAAAGAAAATAGGGCTGTACCCCTGCCCATCCTGCCAACACTCTCAACAATTGTAGAGGGGGGCGCCTGGGTGGCCCAGTCGGTTGAGCATCCGACTCTTGATTTTGGTTCAGGTCACGATCTCACAGTTCGTGGGTTTAAGCCTCACATTGGGCTCTGCACTGATAGTGTGGAGCCTGCTTATGCTCTCTCAAAAATAAATAAATGTTTAAAAAAATCTTTAAAAAAAGCAGTAGTAAGACGCTCAAACAGTTCTTCCTCATTTTGCATATGGCAGCAGGAAAGAGTTACTCTTGCTCTCTAGTGGGTTTCTGAGGTCTTCAGAAAGGATGGGCAGAAGTTTTCTATGCTCAGGAAAGGTGGTGCATAAGGTTGGCTCCCTCCTACTGAGGAGAGGATGGAGGTCCCTGGGTTCCCTTGGCAAGGATGTTGGCTCCTCTTTCAGGCCATTCAGCAAGGGACCATCCAGTGCAACTTCGGTGGCGTTGCTTTGGGTGACTCGTGGATCTCCCCTATAAGTAAGTACAGAATTTTCATTTCTTTAATCCCGTTCTCCATTCTTCCCCGGGACTTTGGGCTGGGTTGTCCAGATCCTAGAACAAGGCAACAGAATCTTCTGGGTCGTTAGAGATGTCAACCCAGAAAGGGTTTGCCCCAGGAGTGTCTGAGAAATTTGCGGATGAGAGCTCACTTATGGAGCTCCTACATGGCCCTCTGCCGGCCAGACTGAATTCTCTTCTTTGACTCTTAGAACAAAAGAATCAAATGTTACAGTTGAAGACCTTCTAAACACTCAGAAAGGTGATGGAATTTTCCCTCTGACACATAGCGTGAGTGGCCTGGTCAGGATTCAAACCCGGTTCTGTTGGTCATTTGTCTCCACTGCTAGCATGAGGATTTGGGGTGACACTCCTGTCTGTTGCTCATGTTGGTGATGAGGCAAATTTTCCATCAGGTATGTAGTTTCATCACCTGAGTGTCCTCTTTGGGAATACAGATGAGGGTTGCTTATGTTGCAGACATCTGGGGTGTGGCTTCCGACACCTGAAATAGTCACCTTGGTGGGGTTCCCTCTAACACAGGATTTGTAAATCTCAGGGCTATTAACATTTCAAGCCACGTAATTCTTTGTTGTGGGGGCTGTCCTGTGCATTCTCGGATGTTAGTGTCTCTACCTGCTAGATGCCGGTCCGCCCACCCTGGTGTGACACACAAAAACACCCAAGATGTCCCTGGTTGAGAAGGTAACTTTTCACAGGCAAGACCAAGCCACAAAGTTAGAAATTAGAAGAGAAGCTACCCTCTGGAGGAGGGAAGAGAATAAGCTGGAAAGGGATACCAAGGAACTTCCCAGGCTGCCTGTGTTCTATGTCTTCATTGGGGTGGTTATTACATGGGTATATGCATTTCTCAAAATTTCTGGGTTTTGTTTGTTTTAAGTAGGCTCCAGGCTCAGCATGGAATCTAGTGTGGGGCTTGAACCCACGACCCTGAGCTCAAGAACTGAGCTGAGATCAAGTGTCTGACGCTTAACCAAACGTTGAGTCACCCCGGTGCCCTGCATTTATCAAAACTTCTAAATTTACATTGATGATCTGATGTTTGATTATGCTTCAGTTTTTAAAGATAGTAATTTATAGGGGCGCCTGGGTGGCTCAGTCGGTTAAGTGTCTGACTTTGGCTCAGGTTATGATTTCATGGTTCATGGATTCAAGCCCCATATCAGGCTCTCTGCTGATAGCTCAGAGCCTGGAGCCTGCTTCGGATTCTGTGTCTCTGTCTTTCTCTGCTCCGGCCCTGCTCATGCTCTGACTCTCTCTGTCTCTCCAAATAAAGAAATAAACATCAAAAAAATATTAATTTATAAAAAGTAGTATTTTTTCCGTAAAAGGTAGAGATGTGGTTTGTTACAGAGCTGTGTCCCTAATGGATTCGAGATATTCTGATGTTACTTGGAATGGTATTTCTTGCCCTTATTCTTGGCAGTATCTGGACCGAACTGGAGGTCTTGAGTTAGCATCAGGAAACGGGCCACCATGTATTTTCCTTCCCGGGTGGACCTCCTAGGACATCAGGAAACTGCAGAAGCCTTGATCAGAGGTGTGAGGTTCACTGTCTCACTTAGAATCACATGCTGCTTTCTGAGGTCTTATCAGTTTCCTAAGAGCACTCAACACTTTGTCTGTGTTAACTTCCTTTAACACTTAGGACAGCTCCATGGATGGTTGCTGTTATTATCACAGTTTTGGAGATGATGAAACAGAGACTCAGAGAGGTGAAACAATTTTTGTAAAGTCACACAGCTGAAGTCAGTATTCATCTCTAGGCGGCAGACCCCAGAATCTATACCCTCGCCCATTCACACAAGACCAGGAAGCTTCGTCTCATGGCTTCGCAAGTGCTGTTCATCCTATCCCAGATCTACCTGTTTTCACCTTGCTGTGACCAGCTTCCTCTTAGAAATTTTCTTGCCAGGGATGCCTGGGTAGCTCAGCCGGTTAAGTTCTGACTTTGGCTCAGGTCATGATCTCACAGTTTGTGAGTTTGAGCCCTGTGTCAGGCTCTCTGCACTCAGCACAGAGCCTGCTTTGTATCCCTCTGTACCCCCCGCCCCCCACCCATAAACAAATAAAAAGGAAGGAAGGAAGGAAGGAAGGAAGGAAGGAAGGAAGGAAGGAAGAAAGAAAGAAAGAAAGAAAGAAAGAAAGAAAGAAAGAAAGAAAGAAAGAAATTCCCTCCAAGATCAATATCCCTCCTTTCAGACTTTCAGATCCACTTAAGTTCCACCCCTCCATCCCAGAAATACTCTTTTTTTTTTTTATTGTTTATTTATTTATTTTGAGAGAGAGAGAGTGCAAGCAGGGGAGGAACAGAGAGAGAAGGAGAGGGCATTCCAAGCAGGCTCTGCACTGTCAGCAAAGACCTGGACACGGGGCCTCCATCTCATGCACCGTGAGATCAGGCCCTGAGCCGAAATTTAGAGTCAGATGTTTAACTGACCACGCCACCCAGGGGCCCCCGAAGTTATTCCCTTTTTGAGAGAAAAATACTGTTAATTTGCATGCACAGTTATTAATTATTTGCTAGGTAGTAGGTGTGCTAAGTGCTAGGAGAGACACACACGTGTGCCCTGTGTCCCTGTGTCTTTAAGAAGATCTACACAGTTCAAGATGGTAGCCGTAGCCATATGCAACTAAATTTAATGAAAACACAATAAAAGTTTCAGTCTTTCAGTGGTATTATCCACATTTCAAGTGCCCAGTAGTAGCCACACGTGGCTATTGACCTGTTCGGGACCACGTAGGTACAGAATATTTCTATCATCACAGAAAGTTCTGTTGGACATCAGAGGTTGGCAAACTACAGCCTACAAGTGGAGTCTGTCCTGCTACCCATGAGTTTTTTATTGGGACACAGTCACGCCCGTTCATTTGTGTGTTGTCTCTGGCTGCTTGGAGGCTGCCACAGCAGAGCCGAGTAGTTGCATCAGAGACCGGCTGGCCAGCAAAGCAAAACAGTGTTTACTACTGGGGCGCCTGGGTGGCTTAGTCAGTTAAGCGTCCGACTTTCGCTTGGGTCATGATCTTGCGTTCGTGGGTTCGAGCCCCACGTCGGGCTCTGTGCTGACTGCCAGCTCAGAGCCTGGAGCCTGTTTCAGAGTCTGTGATTCCCTCTCTCTCTGACCCCCGTGTCGGGCTCTGTGCTGACTGCCAGCTCAGAGCCTGGAGCCTGTTTCAGAGTCTGTGATTCCCTCTCTCTCTGACCCCCGTGTCGGGCTCTGTGCTGACTGCCAGCTCAGAGCCTGGAGCCTGTTTCAGAGTCTGTGATTCCCTCTCTCTCTGACCCCCGTGTCGGGCTCTGTGCTGACTGCCAGCTCAGAGCCTGGAGCCTGTTTCAGAGTCTGTGATTCCCTCTCTCTCTGATCCTCCCCTGCTCACGCTGTCTCTCTCTCTCTCCTAGAAATAAATAAAAACATTAAAAAAATTAAAAAAAAAAAACAAAAAAAACAGTGTTTACTGTTTGTTCTTGACAGAAAAATTCTGTCCATGCCTGGACTAGATCAAGCGGGGAATGGGACACATTGGAGAATTGCAGACGATTCTGTATGTCAGGAAACACACAGAATGCATGTATGTAATGTATGTATGTTTGTATGTAAAGCACACACTTGCCAGTCAAGCAGGGGAGGTGAATGATAGCTCGGTTCCAGAGGACCTGGTGTGCCTGCCTTTTTTGGGTGTACTCTGAGGAATACCAGTCCAGTGAGGGGCCATACAGAGGGCTCCAGAGTCCAGTCAGTTTTGGAAGCGCTAAATACTGGCTCCACCTCTTCAAGGCTTCGCAGACATGTTAAAGGCTCTGAGAAGTCCTGCAGGAAAAACAAAAAAAAAATTTCTATTTTGCATAGATTCAAAGCTATTGAACTGAAGGATCATTTTTTCTTCTCTAACACCTAGACTAAAATCCTGCAAAACTGAGGTTCCTTCAAACATACTTTGAGGTGCTTACCTTAGGGAACCATTGAAGGTTTTTAAGCAAAGGAGTGACGTATTCAAATGTGCAAGTTGTGGTCCTTGGTCCTTTGCTGGCACACCTCAGTGGTACAAGCCTTACCTATAGGTAGGGGAATTGTGAATCTGCCAAACCAAGCCCAGCTGTTGTCTTTGAGGGAGAAGTTTTTAAAATTTATTTTAATTGATTTATTTAATTAATGTATTTATTTTTCTTTTAAACAGAGAGGTGGCAAATGAGCGAGGGGCAGAAAGAGAGAGGGAGAGAGAGAAAGAAAAATGGGCTCACCCGGGGCTTGTGTTTTTACCCGAAGCAGGGCTGGAGCTCACAGGAGGCAGGGGCTCATGCACATTGTACGTGGGACTCAAACTCACCTGCAGTGAGATCATGACCTGAGCCGAAGTCAGATGCTTAATGACTGAGCCACTCAGGCACTCATTTTATTTTATTTTATTTTATTTTATTTTATTTTATTTATTGTTTAATTTGCATCCAAGTTAGTTACCATATGGTGCAACAATGATTTCAGGAGTAGATTCCTTAATGCCCCTTACTCATTTAGCCCATCCCCCTCCCACAACCCCTCCAGCAAACCTCTGTTTGTTCTCTATATTTAAGAGTCTTTTTATGTTTTCTCCTCCTCCCTACTTTTATATTATTTTTGCTTCCCTTCCCTTATGTTCATCTGTTTTGTATCTTAAGTTCCTCATATGAGTGAAGTCATTTGATACTTGTCTTTCTCTGACTAATTTCACTTCGCATAATACCTTCCAGTTCTATCCATGTGGTTGCAAATGGCAAGATTTCATTCTTTTTGATTGCGAGTAACACTCCATTGTATAATATACAACATCTTCTTCATCCATTCATCCATCGATGGACATTTGGGCTCTTTCCATACTTTAGCTATTGTCAGTAGTGCTGCTGTAAACACTGGGTGGTTGTGCCCCTTCAGAACAGCACACCTGTATCCCTTGGATAAATACCTCGCAGTGCAATTGCTGGTTCATAGAGGGCAGTTCTGTTTTTAACTTTTTGAGGAACCTCCACACTGTTTTCCAGAGTGGCTGCACCAGTTTGCATTCCCACCAGCGGTGCAAAAAAGATCCTTTTTCTCTGCCTCCTCGCCAACATCTGTTGTTGCCTGAGTTGTTAGTGTTAGCCATTCTGATGGGTGTGGTATCTCATTGTGGCTTTAATTTGTAAATTTCCCTGACAGTAAGTGATGTTGAGCATTTTGTTGTGTGTCTGTTAGCCATCTGGATGTCTTCTTTGGAGAAGTGTCTATTCATGTGATTTGCCCATTTCTTCACTGGATTGTTTGTTTTTTGGGTGTTGAGTTTGATAAATTCTTTACAGACTTTGGATACTAACCCTTTATCTGATATGTCATTTGCAAGTATCTTCCCCCATTCAGTCAGTTGCCTTTTAGTTTTGCTGATTGTTTCCTTTGCTGTGCAGAAGCTTTTTATTTTCATGAGGTCCTAATAGTTCACTTTTGCTTTTGTTTCCCTTACCTCTGGAGGAGACATGTTGAGTAAGAAGTTGCTGCGGCCAAGGTCAGAGAGGTTTTTGCCTGCTTTCTCCTCGAGGATTTTAATGGCTTCCTGTCTTACCTTTAGTTCTTTCATTCATTTTGAGTATTTTTGTGGATGGTGTAAGAAAGTGGTCCAGGTTCATTTTTCTGCATGTTGCTGCCCGGTTTTCCCAGCATCATTTGTTGAAGAGACTGACTTTATTCCATTGGATGTTTTCTCCTGCTTTGTCAAAGATTCGTTGGCCATACATTTTTGGGTCCGTTTCTGAGTTCTCTATTCTGTTCCATTGACCTCAGTGTCTGTTTTTGTGCCAGCTTTTTTTTTTTTTTTTTTTTAAATTTTAGAGATTGGGGCGCCTGGGTGGCTTAGTCGGTTAAGCGTCCGACTTTCGCTTAGGTCATGATCTCGCGGTTTGTAGGTTCGAGCCCCGTGTCGGGCTCTGTGCTGACTGCCAGCTCAGAGCCTGGAGCCTGTTTCAATCTGTGACTCCCTCTCTCTCTGACCCTTCCCTGCTCACGCTGTCTCTCTCTCTCTCTCTCTCTCCTAGAAATAAATTAAAAATAAATAAATAAATAAATAAATACATTTTAGAGAGAGAGTGTGTGAGCAAAGGAGAGGGGCAGAGAGAGAGAGAAAGAGAGAACCCTAAGCAGGGCCACACTCAGCACGGCGCCTGACAAGGGGCCAGATCCCATGACACTGGGATCATGACCTGAGCTGAAATCAAAAGCCAGACACTCAACCAACTGAGCCACCCAGGCGCCCCTTGTTTTACTAGTTTGTATCTCTAAAGCTCCTTGCTAGCCTCAGACCCTTAGTAAATTCTCATTATGTTTGTGGAATAGAAGAGAATTGGTTGGCAGTGTAGTCACAGACATTGAATTACAAAATCGTTAGTCGTCTTCCTTAATGAGCTCCTTGGGAGAAGCTAGTGTCCCCAAACTGGAGGAGCAAATACAGAGCAGAAATGTGAGGGTGGAGAAAATATTTTAAGTTGTCAAAATACCTAGAGGTCTAGCAAAGAGGAACCTGCATGCTCACGCGCACACACACAGACACACAGACACACGCACGCACACAGCCTGCCTGAGGGATGCCATCACTGGCTGCCACTCACTTGCTGGACCAGTATCAGGTCACATTACAATGCCATCAGTCCTGAGTCAACAGAAAGGCTTCCACATCATCCCACCTCCCAACTCCTGAGACCTCAGCCCAGCACAGAACCTCGAGACCCAGAGCCAGCAGGTGTCTTGCATCTGTCTCTGCCTTGGGCGGGGAGCTGGTGTGGTTTTGCTTCAGGAGGACAGAGCCACAGCACACTTACTTTGTACATATGTGCTCTCCTTTAGATTCGGTGCTCTCCTGGGGACCCTACCTGTATAGCGTGGTGAGTAGATGTGTCCCTACCCCCGCACCCTCCTTGGTCAGCAGCCCAGGTGACGTCTTCTGGCGCTGTCTCCAGGAAGAACAGGCTAGCTGAGTTTGCCTGTGAGGTTGACACTGCCCCTTGGGGGCAAACGTAAAGAAACATCACCATAGTTACCCATTTTCTCCAGGTGCCAGAATTTTTTTAAAAATCCCCCCAACTTTTAAGTTTTATTATAAAGATTTTATATATAAATATAATTTTATATTTTATATTTATATAAATTTATATTTATTTATATTTATATAAACATTCAAACATAAATGTATTTATATTTTTCATAAATATATATTTATAATTTACAATAACATTTATAATAAATTTATAACAAAAATATTTATTATAAAATTTTTCAAATGTGCAGAAAAGGGGAAAGACCACTGTGAACACCCAAGTGTCCACCATCTAGACTCCATTAACATTTTAATGTATTTCTTTCATCGATTTCATGACTTACAACAATACGCTTTTTTTGTTGTTAATGTTTATTTTTGAGAAAGAGAGAGAAACAGAGAGATAGGGTGCGAGTAGGGGAGGGGCAGAGAGAGAGGGAGATACAGAATCTGAAGCAGGCTCCACATTCTGAGCTGTCAGCACAGAGCCCGACGCGGGGCTCGAACTCACGGCCCATGAGATCGTGACCTGAGCCGAAGTTGGATGCTTAATCGACTGAGCCACTCAGGTGCCCCAACAATACACTTTCATATGTAGTCCCCTTTCTCCCTCACACTTTGTCGGCATCCCAAGCTGTAAGTGATGCCAGGTCTGTGTCTCTGAGCAACGTGGGCCTTTTCATTCTTGGTTTATGTTCCAGTCTCTTCTCGATGACCAAGGTCTGGTAGAGGTGTCACAGATTGCAGAGCAAGTCCTGGATGCTGTGAATAAGGAGCACTACGTAGAGGCCACCCAGCTGTGGGGGAAAGCGGAAATGGTCATCGAACAGGTAACAGGACATACCCGGGGGCAGCCCACTTGCCTTGTTCCCACGGAGGAAGGGCCCCTGGTTGGTATCATCGGGATTCGGGTCTATTCCAAGACTCCCTATGAATCTGAAAATGATCACCTGCTAAAAGGTAAAGCTGACGAGTCTGAGCAGTGACGAGGTTAGAAACCCACCCAGGACTGCAAGAGCTGCTTGTTCTTGGCTGAGCATATGGACTCTGTAAGAAGCCACGTGTCTTGCAGACATGAATGTTTGGATCCTTGCTAAGCAACGTGCCGACCGCAGTGTGCCAGAAGGGAAGGACGCAGGGCCGAGGACTTCAGTGTACAGGGCACCCCCGCAGCCCTGTTCTCCCTGCAAACCAGCACACAGGCCCTTGTTTTCTCCAGCAGCTGAGCTCCACTCAGATGAGCCGCTCACTGCCCCCCGGAGACTGGGCTGACAGCTGGTCTCAGGCCTCGGAGCTGCTGTTCCGGTCCAAACACATTTACAAAGTTAAAGCTGCCCTTGGATAAGATGGAGAGCCAATTGTCTTTCTGTTTTGCAGCTTTGACCATGCACAAATAAAACAAAGAGCCGCATATCATTCTCTATTTCAGAATACGGATGGAGTGAACTTCTACAACATTTTAACTAAGAGCACTCCCATGGCTACAATGGAGTCGAGCCTGGAGTTCACCCAGAGCCACGTAGGTAAGTGGACCTGGAAGTGGCTAGACCCCGTCTGTCTCCTACAAGAGGAAATCAGGGGGTTTTAGTTTTATTGACATCATTTACATACCATCAATTGCAACTGTGTTAAGTGTATGATTCAGTGGTTTTAGTGCGTTCTGCACTGTTCTGCACTGTTCGGCTGTACTGTCATGATCACCATCCAGTTCTTTTTTTTTTTTTTTTAAATGTTTTATTTATTTCTAGGAGAGAGAGAGAGCGTGAGCAGGGGAGGGTCAGAGAGAGAGGGAGTCGTAGACTGAAACAGGCTCCAGGCTCTGAGCTGGCAGTCAGCACAGAGCCCGACGCGGGGCTCGAACCCACGAACCGCGAGTACATGACCTAAGCGAAAGTCGGACGCTTAACCGACTAAGCCACCCAGGCGCCCCCACCATCCAGTTCTAACGCCATCCACTAATCTAGGTCTCCAAGGCAGCCCTTTCCGGTGTACTTCATGTAAATGGAAGCGTGCAGTGGGTGGTCTCTTGCACTTGGCTTCTTTCGCTTAGCATGGTATCTCTGAAGTTTGGAACTCAACGTCTGCCCATCGGATTACCATGTCAGTCCTGCTGAAGGCTGGATTGAGTTGTCTTTCCAGCTGACCCAGCTTCACTGTGGACAGGCATGCCTGGAGTCTCCCACACCGGGAGAGGCCTAGAAAGGCTGCAGGAGCCCCTCAATTCCACTTCTCAGCCGATTTCCATTGGTCTTGCTGGAGAAACCCATTGGCCCCCAAAGTACATAAAATGCCGCAATCAAAACTAATAAAGCATCTCCACTGTCCGTGTGTTTCAGGCTCTCTTCCTCCATCTGGGGTGAATGAAGGTGACACTTTTCATTTTCCAGCTGAAAGCCTCCCTCTTAGACACAGTGTCCCAGCAGCTTGGGAAAGGCGTGCTCTTGGTCTTACTTCTGGTCCTTTGAACTCACCATGTACCAGTTTGTTTCAGTTCGCCTCTACCAACGCCACGTGAGACACCTGCAACAGGATGCCCTGAGTCAGCTCATGAATGGTCCCATCAGGAAGAAGCTCAAAATTATTCCTGATGATTGCTCCTGGGGAGGTGTGTGACCTAATTAAGTGCCCTTTGTCCCTTTGTAGGGTTGGGGGACAGGAGAGGTGCATGCAGACGTGTTGATTTGAAGAATGGGTGTGGTTGCTGGGGGTGACATGTTGTAGGCCGAATGGCATTACTGTCCCATCTTACAGATGAGCAAACAGAGAGATAAATAATGCGCTAATTGATTGAGAATAAGAGGCTGGTAGGGAAGTGGGGGGAGGGGGAGGAAGGAAATGAATGATGGGTTAGGTGTTGAAAATTGACCAAGCCAGATTGTGGGCACCTGAGAATCTTCCCTCTCTTCTTACTTTTGTATCAGTTTGAAGTTTCCCATAATGAACAAAACTGAGATTTAAAAAAAAAAAAAAAGCCACACCCAAAGCCTCCGTTGCCTGTGGGTGTGACTTCCAGACCAAGGTTCTTTGGGGCAGGTTTTGACCCCTTCCCTGGCCGCCCTCCCTGGGTCCTGATGCTGGATGTGTTCTGGGGTCTACTGCCTTCTCTTCTGGGGGCCATTTCTGGGGAAAATATTTGGGGTCCTCAGACGAAAACCAGGTAGAAATCTTGGATACGTTCCTGCTTAGTCCTATAGGGAGGCTGTGAGCAAGCGGGACTCCCAGATTCCTGGAGGGGAAATACTCAAGCTGAGGAGGGCTTCCTTTGTCTGAGGTACCCCAGGGCTCTGTATTTCTAGCAGCCCCTTGACAGCTAAGACTCGACCCTGGCCCTTGCTTCCTCGGGGACACAGGCCACCCTCCCAACCTACAGTTAGAGAATTCATCATAGCCCTGGTGTCTTCATTTCTGCCTCACCCCTTCGAGTTTTCTAGAAATGAGGGGCAAGTAAATTACTAGATTTTTAACATTTATTCATTTTTGAGAGACTGCACGAACAGGGTAAGGACAGAGAGAGAGGGGGAGACACAGAATCCAAAGCAGGCTCCAAGCCCTGAGCTGTCAGCACAGAGCCCAAGGCAGGGCTTGAACTCACAACCTGAGCCAAAGTCGGATGCTTAACCAATCAAGCCACCCAGGCACCAAGGGGGCAAGTTAATTGGATCAAATAATAAGACTGTGGTGTCAGAGCTTTAGGGAAGTACAGGCCTGGGGACCTGTCGAGGCACTGAGAATGGAGGTGTGAGCTGTCCCAGGACATCAGCGAAAGGCCAAGCCTGCAAGAGCACCTTTCCAGCTCAGCCCCTTCAGTCTGTCCTTGTGATGACAGCATTTTCCAGCCCCAACTTCTCTAGTTACAGGGACCCTCGCTCCCTGACGTGCGGCTGGACGGGCAAGGGGTCGACATTTTTGCCACCATTGAATGATAGAGAAAACTCCTTTTTTGGCTTCAGCTCTATCTGTGTGTGGTCTGGAAAGGACAGACTTGCAGGTGGTCCCCGCACCCGGGGTCTTGAGCTCTGTTTGCAGTTAAGCCTGCATACTTCGGAGTCAGCCAGGCCTGTGTTCCTGGCGCAGCCTGCCACGGACTAGCTGTGTCCCCCTGGGCATGTCTCTGAGCCTGTCTGAGCCTTGTTTCCATTAACCCCTGCACTAGGTTAAGACTCCTCACCTCCCAGGGTTGATGAAGAGGAAATAGCATGTGGTTTGTAAAGTGCTTGCCGAAAGCAGCGACTAGCACATAAAAATCAATAACGGCTGTCGTGGTTACTGCTGTGTTCGATGTAATGGTGATGACGGTCAGGAATCTGGCAGCACCGTGGTACCAACCACCTTCTCTCTTGCCTGAGGCTGATCATCCCTGTAATCTTACTGTGAGCTCGCTCAGAATTGGTTTAGGTCTGATTTGGCCCCACTTGTTCAGAACTTAGAACTTGGCCCCGGTGCTACTTAGCAAAGAGGAAAACTATCACTTGCCCCAAAGCAGAGTTTGTTCCCTGAGAGGAGAGCATTTTCTGAAGCTCCCTGTTCGCTCGGGCGCTTGCCCTCTCTGGCTTTCAGTTCCTCCCGATAAACGATGTGCGCTGTACGCTCGTGCACTTGAGTGAACAGAACACATTTGCCGATAGGCTTCATTTTAGGTGACTGGCTCCCGGCCGGGGTTTCGGGGCCGGCTGCTTCCTCCTGGTGAAGCACATGTGTCTGCAGCCTCTCTGAGGTGGAGCGCAGTGGCCCCTCGTGGGCGCCGGAGCCCAGGGTGCGCTGGACTGAGCAGTGCCTCCTGTTCAGGCAGGATGCGAGCTGTTCGCTCTTTCTGTTTCCCCACGTGCAGGCCAGTCTGCCAGCGTCTTCCAGAACATGGAGGGGGACTTCATGAAGCCGGTCATCAGCGTCGTGGATGAGTTGCTGGAAGCCGGGGTCAATGTCACTGTGTATAACGGACAGCTCGACCTCATCGTGGACACCATGGGTAGGAGCACACAACGCGGGCCCGCGGAGGCAGTCAGGTCCATGGGTGGAGCTGGAAGGGAGCCGGCCTTGGACGTGTCAGTCTTGGGGCTGGTGACGCAGAAATGCCAGGAGGAAGGCCGTTTCCTGTTATGTCCACCTGCCCTGCCCTTGACTTCTTTAAAGAGGACAGAGCTGTGGCCCCTTAGAGAAGCCTGGGTCTGGCAGATATTGAGGCCCTTACATATGATGAAAGGAAAGGAAACATTTTCTGGCCATGGGATAAACGCGTGTGGAACCGAGGGAAAGCCCCGACTTCGTGCCCTGTCACAGTCGGTGTAAGCCCTACAAGCTGAAGTGAAACTAAACCCTGCTGACTGCAAACCCAGGGAAATGGGTCCTTTGTGGCTCTGGTTGCAGTCAGGCCGGCTGAAGACCTAGAGGCGGGTTCTCAGAACCGGCAGGCAAATCAGGGCATGCGGTTGGACAAGTGTGATGCCTTCTCAAGGTCAGCAGCCTTGCGTATTTCTGCCGCTTGTAAACCAAGGGCACTAAGGACATTTTGAGAAGGTTCTGCATTCTTCCGTGACCTGCCCGGGAGGTTAGCCTCTCCTGACCCTGAGACTTCTCAGTCCTCCGGAGACTCTCGCCACCTCCCCCAGTTTCCTTCCATCAGAGCAGACAGAGAGAGAGAGCCAGAGGCGAACGCAGCCTCGGAGCCTCTAAGTGCCTCCTAGGCGTCATGGGGATCACTGGGAGTTTGCTAGAAATGCAGTCTCTGGCCTCGCCCAGACCTACTGACTCAGAATCTGCGCTGTAACGAGACTCAGGATGAGCCTTCTGCACATTACGGTTTGGGAAAAGTGAAAATACGGGCCCTGGATAGTTGTTTCTGCCCCACCCAGCTGTTAATGCCAGACCCTTCTCTGTCCCTCCCGCCAGGTCAGGAGGCCTGGATGCGGAAACTGAAGTGGGCTGAACTGCCCAAATTCAATAAGCTGAAATGGAAGGCCCTGTACAGTGACCCTAAATCTTCTGAAACGTCTGCATTTGTCAAGTCCTACAAGAACCTGTCTTTCTACTGGATTCTCAGAGCCGGGCACATGGTGAGAGAGCGTCCGGCAGCCTTTGTTGTGGACTCTTGGCTGTTCTGAGGACAGAGCCGTGGGCCATTAATTATGCATGGGCACGCTGCCCGTTTTGGCTTTAGAAGTGCTTTGGGCTTGGGAGTGTTTTGAAGTCTTTAATGAATTTCTGCTATTAGTGCTTCATTCCTTTGAGTCTAGAAATTCTCATTTATTTATTATTATTTTTCAGGTTAAAAAAAATTTTTAAGTAACTTTTACATCCAGTGTGGGGCTCGTACTCCCAACCCTGAGGTCAAGAGTCGTATGCTCTACCAACTGAGCCGGACGGACGACCCTAGAAATTCTCCTTTAAAAAAGTAAATCCTTCTGAGAGCATTAAGCTGGGCTTGCTGTCCTCTACTCCTTAGTTTAAACGAATTTAGTGTTACTTTCCTCTTAATTTGTGCTGGGGGAAGAAGGGAGAAGTTGTACTCCCCTGACATTTTCAGGGAACAAACCCCAAAGTTGAGTGCTCTGGAAAGTGGAGTCCCCAGGTATGGTACAAGGCAGGAGGGAGTGTTTTCGAGCAACAGTAGCTCCAGAATTTTAGTTTGGAAGAGGGTTTCTGTCCAAAGATGAGGCCGCCTCACTCCTGCACCTCTAAGCAAACACACTCTTTCCCCTCAGGTTGTATGTTGACTGAGTGGCTTTCTGTGCATCAAGGGACATTATGGAGGGATAAATCCTCTGTGTACACACGCGTGTTCAGGCACGTGTGCAGGCAGACACCTGCGTGGGCTCCAGAGGAGCTGGTGCCCTGTGGGTTATGCTTTGGTCTGGCCACTTAAATACAGGGTTTTTCTTCTTCCCAGGATGGTGGCTTCCTGGAGAAGATTCGGTGGGAGGGCTGGTAAGGTGGCCTCTGGCCTGTCCTCCGCGCTTGGCGCACCTGTGCTTAGGACAGACTCCATAGAGAAGGGGCTCAGGGCCAGTTGTCTGCTTAGAAAGTGGGCTTGGCGGGGCACGTGAGTGGCTCAGTCGGTTAGGCATCTTGACTCATGGTTTCGGTTCAGATCATGATCTCGCGGTTTGTGAGCCTTGCGTCCGGCTCTGCACGGACAGCTTGGAGCCTGCTTGGGATTCTCTCTCTCTGTCCCTCTCTGTCCCTCCCCCACCCTCTCTATCTCTCTCAAAATAAAAAAACTTAAAAAAAAAAAAAGTGGGTCTTCGAAACCAGTCTTTAAGCTCGGTCTGTACATCGAGCACATAGTTCGCACGTTAACCACACACAGCATGCTTACTTAGATGGCCCAGGAGGTGATGAGAGAGATCTTGGCAGGGACCTAAGTGCCCCATCCACAAACCACTCCTCAGAGGTATCAGCTCGGCAGAGAGGAGGCGTAGGAGCAGGGAGAGCAGTGTGCGCAGGTCCAGAGGAGCCTTCTGACTGTCGAGGCCTCAGGAGGGGTGCTGGGGAGAGACGAGGCGGGGGATACCGAGTTAGGGAGCTCACATCTATCCTGGGAACCTGTTGAGGGTCCTAAAGCAAAGGAGTGAAATTACCAGATTTGGCTAAGAAATAACATTCTAGCAGCAAAGGGCCTGGGTGGGACAAGACTGGGGCGAATAGCTGAGCTGATCTGATGCTTTTATAGGGGCTCCTGGGTGGCTCAGTTGGTTAAGCATCTGACTTAGGCTCACATCATGATCTCGCAGTCTGTGAGTTCTAGCCCCGCGTTGGACTTTGTGCTGACAGCTCTGAGCCTGGAGCTGCTTTGGAATCTGTCTTCCCCTCTCTCTGCCCCTCCCCCACTCATGCTCTGTCTCTGTCTCTGTCTCTCTCTCTCTCAAAAATATATAAACACGAAGATGCTTTCATAGTGATCCAGAAGGGAGAGAAATGGAGGAATTTTGTACAATGTCAGAAGGGAGAGTGACTATAAAACAGCCTAGTGGGACACCCATAACACAACTGAATATATGTGCTGTGCTTATATGACCTGGAGTCAAATTTTTGTCTTGGGAGAGAGAGATATGGGAGTGAAATATGAAAAAGGCCTGGGACCGGGCCCTGGACACACCGGGTATAAGAGGAAGGAGGCGAAAGAAGGATCTACAGATGAGACTTGCAAAGGGGCAGCCGGGAAAGGAGGAGGGAGGCCAGGGACCTGGGCATCTGCCGAAGAGAGGGGCCAGGAGTGTGGCAAGCCGCCACAAACTCAGATAAAAGAGTGACGTGTCGGCACTGGTTTGGGCACACTGGTATCCACAGTGATCATGGCAGGCGCGTTCAGTGCAGTGGAAGGGATGGAGCAGATGAATGAGCAGTTTTCCTTCAGAAACCGGAAGTAGAGCCCTGCCCTTTGAAGAAACTTGACCTGAAGGGGCCATGAACAAGGCAGCAGGACATGGGTTAGGATGGCATTTTTATTAGGGCTTTGAGTATTCTCAGTACTGTCAATATCAATGGGAAGAAGCTGGTAGGAGGTCTTAGGACCCAGAGCCATGACTCTAGACGGGTCCCCGCATAGGCAGCTGGGAGGGGAAGGGGAAGGGGACTGGCTGCATGCTCTCACTAGCGTTTTGGCGTTCAGGCCCGTTTCCTCTGGTTTGTCACTGAGAGAACAAGAGATCAGTTGGGGCGGCCCTAAAATAGCTCTTGGAAACTGTTATTAAATTCTCCCCAACCACTTCCCCTTTAGTTGATGAAATGTCATTCTGCTATACCCCACTGTGCCTGTTCCTCCTGGGGACCTTACAGGGCGAGAGGGTTGGGGACAGCAGTGTGCCACAGAGAATCAGGGAGCCATGGATGTCAGAACTAAGTGCCATCAACTCGACCCTGATCTTGGCAGAGAAACTGAGGCCTCCGCCCCTCCCCTTTTTTGATGGCATGCGGGTAGGGGGTTTATAAAGGAATTTTTCGAAATATCTAAGGGAAAGACAAAAGAAAGTTGAATGTAACGATACAAACATGGGGTGTCACCCAAAAACAAAGTGTTTGTTTGTTTCCTATCTGTTGATAGATTTGCTATTAGCTTCCCTCGGCTATACCGTACTCCATTCCCATCTGAGATCCTCCTACACAGATAGTCCTTGAAAATGCATAGCATCTTCCCTCTTCCTTGAACAGGCTGGGTCCTGGTAACATAAGCATGGGGCTTATAAAGAAATCAACCGGGGCTCCTGGGTGGCTCAGTCGGTCAAGCATCTGACTTTGACTCAGGTCATGATCTCACAGTTTGTGAGTTTGAGCCCTGCATCGGGCTCTCTACTGTCAGCGCAGAGTCCACTTCGGATCCTCTGCCTCTCTCTCTCTGCCCCTTCCCTGTTCTTTCTCTCTCTCTCAGAAATAAGTAAAAACATTAATAAAAGAGAAAAAATCTGAAATCAACCAATCAGCCCCAAATAGAATGTAAGGTTCTTTCCTAAATGCTGACTTGTTTAGATCCTCACAACCTGACAAGCTTTTGTCCCATGCAGGGGTCACTTTGCAGACGAGACCCTCCCTTTAGGGACACACTCAGGTGCTGCTGTCTTCTCGGGCTGCTGTCCCAGAGCTGCACTTTGCCCGGGAACAGGGTCTCTGGATGTCACCCGTGACCCCAGAAGCAGGGACAGAACCAGGAGGGCTAACTCGGATACTGTTTGGCTCTAGGTTCCTTCTGACCAAGGGGACATGGCTCTGAAGATGATGAGGATGGTGACTCAGCAGGAGTAGGCTGGACCGGAGGTGAGTTGCTTGGCCGTGGGGCGCAGGGGCCGAAGCCAGCACGCTGCAGCTGTGAGAGGTGCTGCTCTCCCCCTTGAAGCCGTTCACCTGTGTGCCTGAAGCTTCCTGCTGCTTCTCCAGAGAACAGAATCACCACCTCTGTGGCCACCTGGAAATCAGTTCTGCTTCTGAACAAGCCTGAGTTGTTTTCTTTTTTAACAGATTTGTTGTCATCAAAATGGAGGGTTGAAATAAGGTAACATGTTTGTATTACAAAAGTAAGTTATGTGATTTATGAGGAAAAAAGAAAAAGACACGTAAACAACAGAATAAATACTGTTTTACTCCCTTCCGTGGGATAAACTCTATTGTCCATTTAGTATCTATCTTTGGAAGTCTTTTTTTGCTACATATGCATATATATTTTTTACAAAAATGGAATCATTACCCTATGTTGTTTTACTCCCTTATTCACGTATTCGTTTCTCCCAACCTCTTCACGTCAATAAATGTTCTTCTGTAACATTTCTTTTTAACGTTTATTTATTTTTGAAGGAGAGAGAGCGTGAGCAGGAGACGGGCAGAGAGAGAGGGAGACACAGAATCCTAAGTAGGCTCCAGGCTCTGAGCTGTCAGCAAAGAGCCTGATGTTGGGCTTGAACTCACGAGCCCTGAGATCATGACCTGAGCTGAAGTCAAATGCTCAACTGACTAAGCCACCCAGGCGCCCCTTTCTATAACATTTTTAATAGCTGCTGAGCATTCCATTTTGTGGATGTACCATCATTTATGTACCAAATGCACAGCTGTTTCACGTAAGCAATGTCTAGTTTGTTCTGCTATAAACAGTGCTCTGGTGATTCAGCCTGACAGTTATATTTTTATATACATTCTTCTTATTTTCTTACAGTAAATTCCCAAAATCATAACTGTGATGTCAAAGAATCAGAACTTTTCTTTGAAATTAAAATGAGGGGCACCTGGGGGGCTCAGTTGATTGAACATCCAACTCTTAATTTCGGCTCAGGTCATGATCTCACGGTTTGTGAGTTCGAGCCCCATGTTGGACTCTGGGCTAACAGCGCGGAACCTGCTTGGGATTCTGTCTCTGCCTCTCCCTCGTGCACGTGCTCACTTTCTCCCTCTCTCTCTCAAAATAAATAAAACTTATAAACTTTTTCTAAAGTTTGAGAGAGAGAGAGAGTGAGAGTGAGAGTGGGGGAGGAGCAGAGAGAAGGAGAGAGAGAATCCCTCCTCACTGCAGCACAGAGCCTGACGTGGGGCTCTGTCTCACCAACCGTGAGATCATGACCTGAGCCAGAATCAAGAGTCAGGCGCTTAATCAACTGAGCCACCCAGGCGCCCCGAGGTCTTTAATTTTAAAATCTGGACTTTTAAGTTTTAGTTTGTGGCTCATAATCTGCAGAAGGGATGTATGATAGCCTCTATGATGACCCTGAAAGGGACACTGTGCTGTGGTTGCAGGGCTGAGATACTGAAATCCAAACCCAAAGTCTTCCTGCGGCACGTGAGGAGAGAGTTACGAGCGGCTTGTGCCTGAACGACCAGCCCTTCAGACCTGAGACTAAAGCAGGGACACCCCAACTTACCCATGGTTCGCTGTTGGAGGGCAAGCACCCCTGCGTGCCGTAGACAAGACAGACGTGTCTGTCTGTCATGCTTAATCCCCCTGGACTCCACCAGTGTATATTCTCCTGCGGCTTCTGCTGCACATCCTTTGCTGGGAAAAGATTTAGCTGTGAGTATAACTAGTCACCAAGTCTTGTGAGTCCTGGCATTGAATTACAACACAAACTAAATGCCCAGCCTCACAGGGAACCTCTCTTTCATCAGTAGTTAAGGTACCAGGGGGCGCCGGGCTGGCTCAATCAGTAGAGTGTGTGACTCTTGATCTCAAGGTCGTGAGTTCAAGCCCCACATTGGGCGTGGAGACTGCTTTTTAAAAAAATCAAATAGAAGTTAATGTATTAGTTGGGAAGGAATGTGAGTTTGAACATTAGGATGGGTCACATAGATTCCAGTGAAGGTAGGGACAGCGAACCTTTTTTGCTACTAGAAACAGCCCTTCCATCCCTGCCTAAGGAAGGGCACCAGGATCTTGTCCTATGATCCTGTAAGCAACCCCAAGATGCCCAAAGCTCTCTTTTGCTACATTATATTCTCTTTCAACCCACACCCATGCCTTCGTGGGAATTCCCTATGATCAGCTCACTGGGGAAGAAGTCTCAGGCTTGGTTTACAGATAACTCTCTGTGGGGGGCACACATCCCCTGAGAGTGGACAGCTATAGCACTAAAGCCTTCTCTGAGACAGCCCTGAATTGTGGTCAGGGGAAGTCCTCTCAGTGGACAGAACTGGGCACACTGTACCTGTTTGTTTACTTTGCCTGGAAAGAGAGATGGTCAGAAGAAAGGGTCTGCACCAAATCATCATTTAGTGGGTTAGTTGGGCTTGGAAGGAACACAACTGAAAAATCAGAAGGTCTGAGGACAGACCTCTGAGTGGCAGACTAGGAAGATAGCCTGTGTTCATGTGAATGCTCACCAACACGGCGAGGAAGATTCTAATGATCAGCTGGTTAGGACGACCCATTCTATAGACATCAGATAGCTTCCTTCCCCAGCAACTCCTGTGAACTCAATACCAACGGAAGTGGCCATTATGATAGCAATGGCGATTATGCATTTGTTATTGGACATGGACTTGTGCTCACCGAGACTGATCTGGCTGCAGCTACTGCTGAGTGCCTAATCTGCCAGCAGAAGAAACCGCACTGAGTCCCTGATGCGGCACCATTGCCTGAAGGCATCCGCTGGCTATCTGGTGTTCCGTTGATTACATTGGACCACTTTCCTTATGAAAGAGGCAGCGAGTTGTTCTTATTGGAATTGACACTTGCTCTGGACATGGATTTGCCTTCCCTGCCTGCAGTGCTTCTGCCAGAACGACCATCTGTGGCCATCATGTGTCGTCCGCCATCATGGTATTCACAGCAAACGAAATGCAGAAGTGAGTTCATGCTCTTGGAATTCACTGGTCTTCACCATGTTCCCCATCATCTTAAAGGAGCTGCCTTCACACAGAGTTGAATGGCTTTTTGAAGACTCAGGTACAGTACCAGGTAGGTGGTGACACCTTGCGGGGCTGGGGCACCATCCTTCAGCTCTGAAGGTGTGGTGTGTGCTCTGAATCAGAGACCCGCTTCTCCCATGAGAATCTCCTGGATTCAGGAGTCTGGGAATCGGGATACAAATGGAAGTAACTCCTGTCACTATCAGCCCTGTCGGTCCAGTCGCCAAATTTTTGCTTCCCATCCCTGCAACATTAGCCTCTGCTGGTCTAGAAGTCTTTGTTACAATGGCAGACATGCTTTCATCAGGAGACACGGCGAAGATTGCATTGAACTGGAGCTTGAAGCTGCCATCTGGTGTCTTTGGGCACTGAATAAACAGGCAACGTCCGGGCTGGCGTGATTGATCCTGGGAGATCAAGGGAGAACTGGGTTGTTACTACACAGCAGGATTAAGGAGGGAGGGTGCAGGAGATCCTTTGGGGTACCCTGTAGTGCGCCCATAGCCTCTGATTAAAGTCCATGGAAAATGATAATAACCCAATTTAGGCTGGTAATGGCCCAGACCCTCCACAAAGGTTTCGGTCATTCTACCAGGCAAGGAATTATGACCAACTAAGGTGCTCACTGAGGGCAAAAGAAATATGGAATAAGTAGTGACTGATGCTAATTATTAATACTAGTTGTGACCTCATCACCTGTTGTAGAACGGAGACTGCTATGAGTATTTCTTCCTTATTTTGATGTGAATATATTCTAAATATTAACCAAAAATGTTTAATCTCTCCCTCAACTCTTTATCATCTAATTTAATAGGTGCTCATAATAAGTAACTTTACACATAAGTATTTAAGTTACAAGATGTCAGACAGGGAGTATGAATCAGCTAGGAAAAGAATGCACATTATCCAGAGGCAAAAAAGGGACTCTGGTGCTGTTCTGGGGGGAGAAAGTCCGTTGGTCCGGGCCGTGTGGGGGGTATTGTGTCATGTTCCACAGAAGCATGATTTTGTTGCTGTCTTTATTTGGAGATTAAGCGTAGTTTACGGCAATGTGTTCAGGTGCCAAGTCAAAAACGGATGGACTGTGGGGGCTTTTAATGTTCCCACCTGCCCAGGCCAGATTGTATTTTCTGGAATCACCTCTCCTGGATGTTTCTGATTAGAACGGCCCACAAGACTAGAGCTTCTCATAGAGACTGGGAGGCTAGAAATGAGGCAGCGGCCAATGTTAGTGCAAACGTGCCGTCATTTACCTGCCAGCTCAGCTCAGGAGCCGCCAGGCCTCAGCAGTCCAGCTTGCCTTGGGTCCTGGAGCATCTCTGTCCCTTGGGCCCGGCGAGTGTGCTTAGCTCTGACGAAGACCAAACCGGCATGTGTTTCTGTTCCGTAGACTGTTCTCATGGACTCCGGCTCTTGTTCCTTTTTTTTTTTTTTTTAATGTTTATTTTTGAGAGAGAGAGAGCAGGGAAGGGGCAGAGAGTGGAGGGGGAGGGGATCCGAAGTAGACTCTGCACTGACAGCAGAGAGAGCCTGATGCAGGGCTCGAACTCATGAACTGTGAGATCATGACCTGAGCTGAAGTTGGACGCCCAACCGACTGAGCCACCCAGGCACCCAGTTCACTTAGTTCTTACTCGGGAAGATTAGATGTTGTGGATCTATATGGTCTATTTAGTCTTTCAGTGGCCTGAGGGAAGGATACTGGGGTGTTAGGCAGTGATGATTGGGAACTTATTCCCTGTGGCCCACTAATGGCAGACAGCACTCAGATTTTGTTGTGTTCCTTGCTTCAGGATGGACCAACCATTTTGTTAAGAAGTAAAGTCAAAAGAGATCTAGGGACTTATTTGGTGGGCATTATAGTTATCTATTGCTACATAATAAATCACCCAGAAATCTGTGAGTTAAACAGCATCGATTACCTGATAGTTTGTGGGGGTCAATTACCTGGGCATGGCTTGCTGGGTCCTTTACTTGCTGCCTCCTCACACGGTTGCCATCAAGGTATTGGCTAGGGCTGCTGCATTTGGGGGGTGGGGGCTGTTCTCAGGGCTCCGGTGGGGAAGGACCAGCTTCCAGGTTTGCTCATGAAGTTGCCGGCGAGATTCAGTTCCTCACAGGACGGCCTCCCCCAACCGCTTGGCGTGTGAACCTCTCCATGGGGCAGCTCACCTTGTGGCAGCTTGTGTCACCAGAGCAAGCAAAAGAAGAGTCAGCGTTCAGGCAAGATCAAGGTCACCGTCTTTTATAACTGATCTCAGAAGTGCTGTCTTATCACCTTGGCCTATTCTGTTCTTAGGAGCAAGTCAATAACCCAGCCCACACTCAGGCAGAGGAGATTATGCAAGGGCATAAATGCAGGAGGTGGACCATCACGGGAACCATTTAGAAGCCAGCTACCATGGTGGTAGAGGTCTTTCCTCACTTCAGAT